GTCGCGTCAGCCCCACGCCGCCAAGCGAGCCGCAGCGTCGCAGGGCAGGCAACGGTGCGAGCCGACGGAAGCGACGGCACAAACGACTCTGGCGTGCGGGCGAACACCATGGAGGACCGCATCCTCTTCAACAACTGTGTAGCCCAGGTGCAGCGCCACCTCAAAGCACATGCAGACTCCCCCAGCACGCTGCACACTCTGGCGTCCTATTACACCAAATCAGAGCCGTTTATCGAGGACCGCCCTTTCTGCGTGAGTCTGAGTTACTCGACGTTCCTTTTCCACATGCAGATGGCCCGCATCAGCGTCGGGGAGGTGGAGCTGTACGTGCAACTCATCACAAGTGTGCTTTCGCAGATTCCTGAAGACGCGCAGCTGACACACCCTTTCGTGCAGCAGGTGCTGCGTGACCACGTGTTTGGGCTGCCTTCGCCGACATGCCGCGGAGGAGCGCACGGTGTGGTGTTGCTGCCACCCCAGCAGTACCGCGCCTTCTACACCATAACCACCACCCTTATCTCTCTGGATGTGATGCCGCTGAGCATCGTGTACCAGTTCCAGGACCGTTTGGAAACATACTGCGAGTGCGCCTCCCCGCTGGTGGCCAACCGTGCCCTGGCGTTGCTGGTGCAGACGGTGAGCGACGTGCGCATGGAGGAGCAGGTGACGGCGCTGCAGTACGTACTCAAGACGAAGCCAGTGAAGATGAACGTCGACTTCTTGCTTGCCTGCTACGAGCGCCTGAAGCGTGCTGTGATGGACCCCGCGTACGGCCCGGCCTTCGGCCGAGCCCTCTCGATCCACTGCAGCGAGCTCTTCTTGCGGTTCCGCTCCCCAATCCGTCGCGAGTACGTGGAGCGCTTCCTCTACCCGAGTCTGTGTCACGGCGACATGGCCGCCTTCTTGCAGATCCCGGCGACCCGCAAGCACCTCATGCGCGAGCTGCTCTCCCAGTGCACGCCTGGCATGGGCACGATGAACCCCTTTTACATGTGTCTCTGTGCGGTGCTACAGTCCAGCTTCGACAACGAGACGGACGGCGCGCTGGAGACGGTGGCGCTGATCAACTACCGCATGCCCCACGCCGCCTACTTCGCCGCCACGCTGGCGGTGGACTCGCACATGTCGGTTTCGATGTTCGCCAAGGTGATCATCGCCCTGGCACGTGGGGCGGGCATGGCCATGACGGGCCGCGAGACCCCCGACGAGGTGGCCGCTTCCATCAACGCGAACCGCATCAGCGTGTACAACGTCCTCTTCTTGCTCCGCGAGGTGGTCCGCAGCTGCTCCGTGACCGCCTCGCGCAGAGCAACGGACATGCTGAAGGCGTTGCGGGTCGCCGTTGCCCCCAACACGATTGAGGCCCTGGGCAAACTGTCCAGCGAGGCCTTCGAGACGGTGAGCGACATCACGCTGGATCCCCAGCTGCTGTGCGCGGAGCTGGCGATGGTGCTGCATCAGGATCACATCGGCGAGGCCATGGACTCCGCCGTGGAGTACTTCCGTGACGTCACCTCCAAGTGCCCGTACTGCGCCGCGGCACGCAGCTCGTCCCTGCTGTGTCCAGTCAACGGCACCGTTCACGTGGCCGGGCAGTCGTCCGTCAGTCGCGTGCTCTCCACCCTATCCGAATGTGCCGGGATGAAGGCGGTGGAGGAGAAGCTGATCAGTTACCTGCGCGACCCCGCCATGCAGATGGAGAGCGCTGTGCACTACCTTATCTACCACATCATCGCGAACGGCGGGCAGCATCGCAACACGCTCTTCGTCGCGGTCGAGCCGTATGTGCGCAGCACCTTGCTTGCGCTGGTCAGCGCGGACCGCAGCGGCTCCCGCGGACTCGTAAGCAGCACGCAGAAGGCCAACGTACTCATGCTCCACGTGAAGCTCGTCACGCTCCTTGCCTCCTCGATTGACCCGTCGTACCTCGAGAGCATTCTGAAGGTCTTTGCGGAGCTGAAGCTGCGCAACAACCACGACGCACTGGCACTGTGGTACATGGGCAACGTGCTGCTGCGCAACTGCCGCGGCAACCTCGAGCTGCTCCCCACCGACCCACAAGAGAACAACTACTGCGTCGCCTACCCGGGGTGCGCGCCGTCCAGTGCGACCACGGCCGACAACGCCCAGCTGGTGCTGAAGCTCCTGCACCGCGCACACAGCTTCAGCCCGGAAATGCACAAGCTTGTGGGGTGCTGTGTCTGTAAGCTGATGCAAGACTTCAACATGCAGGCGCCGAACATCTGCAGCACGCTGCTTTCTTCTTTCGGCTTCCTGCCAGTCGGGCTCGAGTCGCTGAACACCTTCGCCCTTCCTGCCGGCGCCGGGAGCACCTTCTGGAGCTTCTTCCTGCAGCAAATGCGCCACTCTGCGCCTGCCCGCACGGCCTTTATGGCGACGCTCGCCAAAAGCATGTCGCTTCGCTTCCGCGTGGCGTCACCGGCAGGCGCCCTGGCGCTTTACGGGCCCGAGCCGACGGGGCACCTCTTCGCGATTATGGTGTACGAAGCCATGAAGCGCAACCCGCCACTCGCGCGCGTCCTGCTGTACATGTTGTCCCACTGGGTGAAGCAGGCCGATCACCCACCCGGCAAGTTCGCCTGTCTTCTCTACGTGTGCGTGCAGCTCATCACCGTCGTGGTGGACCGCGCGGAGGGCCCTGCCGGTGTCGAGGTGGAGGCGGAGACCCCTCAAGATCGGCAGCAGTTCGACGATGCGGTGAAGAAGGCGGCGAAGGTGCTCAAGACGCAGCAGCCGCGGCTGGACAAGTTGGTCCCGACGGCGCGGCGCGACAACGCGGAGTTTTTTCACCTGCTGCGGCGCCTGCGACGGCGGGTTCGACACGTCGTGGCGGTCGCCTCGGGTGAAATCGTCATCGACGACGGCGCAGATGAGGAGGAAGAGGAGTGCGAGGAGAGGGATGGGGCAGGTAGCGCGTACGCGATGCGGGAGCTGCAGAACGCGGCGGACGACAGCGTCTTCGACGACTACGCCGACGGCGACAACAACGGTGACGACTACGCGTTTGACGCGGCGGAGGCGGATATGCGTGACAGAGGTGAAAGCGCAGACGTCGTGTTTGGGCATCAAGGGACTCACGACAGAAGCGGCGGTGAGGGTGCTGCTGCTGCCCCAAGGCGCATGCGTCCTCTGCCACAAGGGATTTCCAGCATTCTGTTGTCTGGCACGCCGGAGAGTCGCCACGACTCCGCCGCTTCACGTCGGGGGCAGGGCGGCGGCGACAAGACGCGAGAGGACGCCGCGGACGACGCTGGAAGCTACCTTGTGGACGACGACCACAACAGCGGTGAGGAACACGGCAGTGATGAGCGTCTAAGGAAAGAGGGTGAACTTGCCAAGCATCACTCTCAACCCAACCACGACCCCTTCCAACAGCCACGCACCCGCTCCACCTCTCGCGGGGTGCAGACGGAGGACGTACCGTCAGCCAACGGCACCCCCGCACCCAATACATGTGCCGTACCTCACCGCAGCGTAGGCACCTCACCCATTCAACTCGATGCAGCGTCCGCCACATCTACAAAGCTGGCCAGGCAGCAACCAGGCGGCACACCCGGCACGACCGTCCCCACCCCCTCGTCTTCCTCGCTTTACCAGCAGCCGCATCGCTCGCACACACAACCGCCGGAGGACGCCGAGAAGGCGTCATCGGCGCGCGGGTCCACCTGGGTAGAGCCCGATCTCGCGGACTTCGTGAACGGCGACGCAACACCGATTGAGGCGCACGACGACGTGCCGCGGCTGCAGGCGACCGCCACAGGCGGCCGTGATGGCATTGTTCTGCCCTCCGGCATGGTGCTGGAGTACCTGCGCACCCATCAAGGCATGGACTCGCTGCGACACGAGCTGAACCAGTTTGACCAGCAGTGGATGGTGCAGCAGGTTGCCCAGTACGTCGCGCAGAACGGAGGCCTCGCCGGCACCGCGGCGACGACTGTGCCCACCCGCAGCACGAACAGGAATGGCGCTCCTCCGGTGGCATCCGTCGTGCAGTCAGTGACGGTGGAAGGCCGGGCTAACAACTACAGCCGCCCGCACGCCGATCCCGCTCAACTGGCACCGAGTCGCACCGTGCGCACGGAGGTGCAGATGATGGTGGGTGGCAGCTCGTCGCAGCCCACGCGTCCACCCGTGCAGGAGGAACAGCCGCGTGTGGCGGCTGCAGAAGATGACGAGGACACGGAGACGGATGTGGTGGACGGCGAGCACCCTATCCGTGCCGTCAGCGGCCCGCCTGAGGACGACGCCAGCAGAGGTCGCGACGTAGCGTGGAGTGAGGGGAAGCGGCGGCGTATGGAGGCGACGGCGCAAGCCTCGCCGGTTCCGCCGGTGTCCCCCGCCGGCGCCTTCCGCGGTCGCAACTTTTTTTTGAACCGCAACACACAGCAGCCGGTGGGCTCGACGCTGCAGGACATTCACTTCTTGCAGCGGCAGCAACAGGCGAATGTGCCGCTTCTCGCAGAAGCGCACGCGCAGCAGCAGCAGGGAGAGGTGAGCGACGGTGACCACGAGACCGACGGCCAAGCACCGCGCAAGACGCCGCATCACGGGTCGTCCTCCGGTGTCGCCAGCGAAGGTCTGCCACCCACCACGCCATACGGGCAGGTCATCCTGCCGACGTGGGTGGTGGAGCAGCGCAACGACACCGCCATTCGTGAGCTGCGGCAGGTGATGGGAGCGCACAATCCGAATAGCGCGCGCCTCTCCACCAGCGGCGGCAAACGCACGCGCATCCGCGGTAGTGGTGGTGGCGGTGACGCGGAGGCTAACAGCGGCAATAGCGCTGCGTGGTGGGCGGAGATGAGCTCGGCACCGATGCCGAACTACGCCGCTGATCCACAGTACTCGATGGAGCTGTTCTAGAGTGTATGCGCACACCTCTTTCTCTATTTGTGAATAAAGAGAAGAGAAGTGCACATTACACCTTCACACAACGGTTTTTGTTTCTTTTTTCCTCTCGCCAGTGCGTAGATGCTCAACATAGATGGCTGTGTCCTTTTCCTGTTTGTGTTGTTATTATTGTTTCTCTCTCTCTCTTCAGCTTTCAAAAATAGATCAGCTTTTTTGTTGTTTATTTCTCGCTCGCACACCGTCTCTATATGTCATTCCGTTAGAGGCTCTTTTCAAATTATGCCTTCCTGCCAAGCAAGCATGAAAGAGTGTCTTTTTTTGAAGTAGGCAAAAAAAGAAGAAAACACTGCAGGAGGGTACGGTCGTAGGTCGTAGGTCGTAGTTCGTGCAGGCAACGCTGACATGGACTGGCGCTGAATAAGAGGCCGATGCGTTTCTTGTGTGTTACGGCCGTTCTCTTCCAGTGGCGGTGCCCGATGGAATTCTAATGTGTCAGGGAGGGAATGGAGCGTCTTGACAACGAAGCGGGCGAGCGTCCCGCATGAACTGGTAAGACCGCTTTTGCTGGTTATTCCATTTCAGAATTTCTTCGTGCTCTCTTCCGGTAGTGCGAGGCGACGCGGTTTGAAACGCAGATAACCAGAAACAGAAAAGAACCCTTCATCCCCTCTCCCCACCACATCTTCCCTCCAACCTCTCTTCACGCCGCCATGGTGAATCTACCTTGACTCTTCCTGTCCATCGTTGCGTGCGCAATTGCATTCCGACGAGACAACCCGCCCACATACCAACTCTTTCCAAGTACACGGACTTTGTGTTGCGCTGAGCGACGAAAACTGCTCTTCTGATCTACATCTCTGCACACGTACGCAGCGCCGCTTCTTTTAAGGTGGGGTGACACCGCGTTAAGGTTGTCCTGCTGTCCGTCAACGAGGACAGCGAAAGCAAGTTTCCTTTGTTTTGTGTGTGTTTAGATCGGACTGTTGGCTTAACTCGTAAAGGGAAATCATCCATTCATGACGCCACTTGATGGCGGGGGTCGTGGTGCCTGCCGCGGTCGCCGTAGCGCGCTATTGGCGGGCTTTGTTGTAACCATGGTTTTGTGTGCATTTCCTACCGTGGCGGTGGAGGACCCTTCCCCGAACAGCATCATCTGCACCTGCCGCTGCTGCTACCAGGGCGGCTGCAGTGCCATCACAAACGTGTCCTGGTCCGTTGAAAGATGCAGCGGGTGCACAACGAAGGACTGCAACGACTACATCTCAAGTCAGGCGGTGCGGGCGGAGACGGCGCGTCTCTTCGAAGGCATTCAAGGCGAAAAGCCACTGACGAGTGGGGCGGTGGTGGTCGAGGAGTGTGCGGTCATCGCAGTGCTGGAGGCCGCAACGTGCACGACGAAGAGCTGCAAGCGCACCTCCACCATCAAGGCGGAATGCTACGACCGCAACGCGCCGCTCACCAAATACTCTGTCATCTTCTTTGTCCTGTTCACGATCTTCGCGGTGGTCTTCGGCATCATCAAGAATTACATTCCCGCTTTCCAGTCTCTCAATGAGAAGTACTTCAACTACTAAGGTACTTTGTCTTCGCTGTCTTTTTTTTGTTGCTACTGTCGTTGCACTGTGTCGGTGCGGAAGCTGTTCCTCACGACCGGCATATATATGTGTTCTGCGCCTTGTATCCTTATCTTTATCGGGACCCACGTCTTAGGCTACGAGCGCCACAAGCGAATACATACACACCTACCATGCGGAAGGCCGAAACGTCTTGCTGCTTTCCACTTTTGCCGGTTTCTGCTGGTGTCAGAGTTATCAAACCAGCGACAGCGATCAAAGTCCGGCGTAGAAAAGGAGAAAGAGTATTTCTGCTTTTGTGTTCTCTCCTTAAAAAGAAAAATAATATCCCTTTTTGTTATGCCCGATAGGTCGAGTCACGCGTGATTTTCATTTTTCTTTGCTTTCCACCACCGCCTCTCTTTGATTTCCTCTTCTCCCACGTTCACGCCAGACCGCAGGCTGACGTTCCACATCGCCGCTTCGTTTTCGTGCTTCCTGGCGATTACGCTCCGCCGCACTTACAAAGCAGCAAGCGTCAAATTGTAGGAGAAACGCGTGTTCGGTTTTCTTCCTTCGTCGACTTACACCCCAGCAGAATATATATTTGTGCTCCCTTCTCGGAGAAAAAGGCTGAAAGCGTTCCTCTTTATTTATTTATTTAAAGCTCTTCACAATGCAGCGTTATTTGATGAATACGTCGTACCTACAGGGACAACTCAAGTCCCTGTACGCGCTGCACAACAAGACTGTCAGCGACTACGGCGAGCTCGTGGAGAACCTCAACAAAGAGTGCACCGTCCTGTGTGACGTCATCCCCGGCTACCGCATCTCCAGCACGCTCGAGACGGAAGATGGCAACAATCAGCGTAAGCAAAAGGAGGTATACAACGTGCAGAAGCTCGAGCACGAAATCCTGACGCAGTACACCCACTTCCTGCAGCTCCTGCGCAAGCTGTCGCGAAAGTCGCACCCCGAGCAACAAGCCCTCGGTAGCCGTCTGTGCGCACGCCTCGTCAAGAGCTCCGCCCCGGACTTCAACCACGCAGACACGCTGCTCTCCCTTGCCGTCGACTTTGCCAATTGCAAGTCTCTGCGTGTAGCGCAGCCGTGCTTGACGGCGCTCGCGGAGCTCCTGGACGGGCAAAAGGTGTCGGATACGACAGAGCACGTGATTGGTGCCTTGCTGCGCATCGTACGCAAGCGCAGCTACGCCATGAACCCGAAACTGCTGAACCTGCTCCTGCACGTTCGCGTGGCGATGGTCGACGTGCACCGCGAGGACTTGGCCGAGGAGAAGGCGAAGAACAAGCGGTTGAAGAAGGAGGACAAGGAGTTAGCACGGCAGCTGCAGAAGTCGAAGGCACGCCGCGACCGCGCCGAAATCGCGGCGAAGCAGACCCGCATTGTCCACCGCATCTTCGTCATCTACCTCCGCGTCATCGAGGCGTCCAAGACGTGCTCGCAGGTGCATCAAACGAAGATCTTAGCGCCAACCCTGGAGGGACTGGTGAAGTTTGCGCCGCTCGTCAACGTAGACCTCTACCAGCAGCTGATGGAGGCGCTGAAGGACCTCGTGAAAGGGGGCGGCACGCGTGCCCGCCGCCACGTCTCCGGCCACGAGGGTAACGGCAGCGATAGCGACGCAGAGGACGCGTCGGGCGAGGAGACGTTGACGTCGGTCACGACGCGGCTACACGCGTTGGTGGCGGTGGCCACCCTTGCCCAGCGCGACGCCACGGCGACGGCATCGGAGTGGCGGGTGGACTTGAGCTACTTCCACGAGGTGCTCTTCCGCTGCCTTGGCGAGGCGCTCGAGATGCCCGTGGCGGAGTCGTCATCGTCGGCCAAGATGACGCGCGAGGAGGCGGACGAGGCGTCAAATGGAGACGCGGATGAGGTGGCGTCGCAGGGCTCGACATCCTCTGCCGGCTCGCTCTCTTCGCAGGCCTTCTCGATCGCGAACTCGATGGCACAGGGCGACTTTGTGCAGCAGAATGCGAGCCGGGAGTGGACTTTTCACGTCGGCCTCGTGCTGCGTGCGGTGGATCTGCTGGTGCTCACGCAGAAGCACCTGCCCGTTGCCCGCGTGACGGCGATTCTGCGCCGACTGATGCAGGCGACGCCGTCGTGTCCGCCGCACATCGCCATGGCCATCTTGTCCCTTTGCCACCGCCTCGTGCTGCGCTACCCACTCGCTGGCGGAGTCATTGTCGGCGGAAGCGACAACGTCATTGCCGGCCGCGGCGCCTACAACCCGGAAGCGCTGCAGACGGTGTCCGCCAACGCCGACAGCAGTTTTACCTGGGAGGTGAGTCTGCTCACCCGCAGCTACCACCCGACGCTACGGCAGGTGGCGGAGACGTTTTGCAGGCACTACGCAAAGGTGGCGAAGCACCAGCACGGCCAGGCAGCTGTGGCAACGAAGCAGTTGGACTCCTTAGGCCCCTACGAGGTGATGGAGGAGTACGACCCCTCCCTCGGCGACCTTAAGCCACCGGCGCCGCTGCCCGCTGCCATGAAAGCGGAGCTGCGGAAGCGTAAGCGTGAGGAAACGGAGGCGTAGCTTGTACGCACTCGCCGTCGCTTAAAAAGGGAAAGGAGGAAAATGGGTCGTGCAGTATTCCTGTCTGTCCGTAGTCGCCGTTTCTGTTTTTCATTTTTTCCTGTGCAATGATGCCGCGCTGTTTTTATCTTTTGCTTTTTAAGCATAACATCGCTTAAGGAATGGGGGAAGCACGAGAGAGCAACGCAGTCTACCAGTGCCGAGGACGGGCGGAGAAGACGCAACGGAGCACGTGAGGTGGAGTCGGTGCGTTTCTCCCGGGTGCGTCTGCGCTTTCTCGTTGCCGGGGTTGGATAACCGTTTAAATAATTGTATAGATAATAAATCGCAAGACAACAGCAACGTCTCATTTGAAAATGGATGATGATTGGCTAGCCAGTGGGCAGTACCTCTGATTTCGCTGCTTGGGGGTGGAGTTTTTTTTTTCTTGGCAACGTGCTGATGCGCATCTTGATGAGAGGTTCGGGAGTCGGAAAAATGTGGGTTCAGTTTTTTTTTTCTTGGGAATGGCCACGCGTGAACCTCCCATGCGTCGCAGGTGTCTACGCGGAAAGCCTGGCGTGCAGCGTCAACGACCCGCTTCCGCCTGTGTCTTCTGCGAGGGAACAAAGCATGCTTTCACGGTGCATGTTCCTACACGCGACAAAACATTACTGTGCTCCCTTTCCTTTCCTCAACTGGGTTTTCCAGCATCGGTGCTTACACCCAACCGTTACTTCAATCTTGTGTAGCTTAGAATAGCGGCAGCCACAAATAACACATAGCAGGCATGTCGTGTCAAGCAGCGACGCGAGAGCTCACGGCCGAGGCGCTCTTCGAAGGCCTTCTGCGCCTTCCTCCTTTCCACTACGCTCACCTGACAAACGAGAACACCAACACCACGGAGCTTATCCTCGGCCCGATGACGCGACCCATCGCGTCGCACGAGACGATCACGCAGCCACCGACAAGTTTTGTCATTTTACGCCCCACGCAGTTCTGCCGCATCGCCAATCCACACCGCACCGCTGTGAACCCCGCCACCGGTGCGGTGGAGCCGGTGAGGGACGCCTATGGGCAGGTGGAGGTGCACTCGGGCGAGGAGGAGTACCGCTGGCACGTCGCTCCCTTCCCTTTGTACCCTGAGGAGCGTCTTGTGGAGGTGGCGGAGTTGAGAGTGCTGTCTGCCACAGAGGCGTTGCAGATTGTGGCGTTGGCGGCCTACGACGCGCAGCCGAGTGGGGCACACTCCTCTGTGTCGTCTTCGCCCGCCTCGGCCTCCGGCGTGCAGCGGCGCGAGGCCGGCGAACGGTTTTTGTTCTACGGTCCGGGCACCTACTATCCCCGGGTGGAGGAGCGAGTGGAGGAGGTAGTGTCTGGACGTGTCGTGAACCGCGGGACAGGACTGTGGTGCCGCACTTCGGAGACCTTTACTGATCGCGACACGGGGATTGAGCACTACGTGGGCGAGCAGTACGTGCGTTTGAAGGAAGGGATGTGCTTTCTGGAGTCCTTTGAAGCATATCTCTCTACGCAGGAAGGTACGGCGCTGACGAAGGAGGATGGCCTCCACGTGAAAGCTGTGAAGGCGTACACCGACCCACGCTCGCCGTACTGCGAGCAACGCGTAGTGCGCAAGGCGGGCGAGGTGTTCCTCGTGACAGGTGAGACGTGCCCGTGCTTTGTGCCGCACCCTTACGATCGAGTGCTGAAGCGCATTCGACGAACGTACCTTTCTGCCTCGCAGTACGCCGTCGTGCTCGACTCTGCCGTCGGGACTGGCCCGAACGCTGCCAAGGCACGCAAGGTGGTCACCAACACCTCCTTTTTCCTGAAGCCGAGTGAGAAGCTAGAGAGCGGACGCTGCCGCAATGCCTTCCTGCTGTCCGAGCACCAAGCCGTGTTGGTCGCTGCCACCGGCAACTTCACGGACCTCAGCGGCGACCCATCCGTGGAGCGCTACGAGGGCGACCGGTGGCTGGTGCGCGGCCCGTGCTCCTTCATCCCTAACGATTTCATGCAGGTTGTGCCCGATGCCAAGACGAAGGCGGAGGTGCGCTGCCGCTACTTGCTAGGCGAAAAAGAGGGTCTCTACGTGCGCGACACTGTCACGGGCGTCGTGCGGTGCGTCCCTGGTCCCTGCAGTTACATGCTGGCGGCCGAGGAGGAGCTGTGGGAGAAGCCGCTCTCCGCGCAGGTGGAGCGCCACCTCGCCCAACTCATCAGCCACAGCGCATACATCGAGCAGGAGGGCGATCGGCCGCGTGCCGCGCTGCACGGGCAAACGGACCGCGCCGTCACGTACTCTACTCCGCATCGCAGCGTGACGCAGCTTTTTAACTACAAGACTCAGGTGACCCGCATTGTTTTCGGGCCGGACCGGGTGCTGCTGGAGCCGGACGAGGCCTTCACCGTCGTCTCGCTCTCCGGCTCGCCGTGGGACCCGGCGAATCCCAACAAGTGTCTTCCGAAGCAGCCGAACCACATCACCGCCCTGCACCTCTTTCTCGGGCCGTCCAACATGACTGATGTCGTCCACGTCGAGACACGCGACCACGCCCAGTTGGCGCTGCAGCTCTGCTACGACTGGTACTTCGACGTCGCCCGCGGCGACACGCCCACGGCGAAGCAGTGCTTCAGCGTCAACGATTTCGTAGGGGACTGCTGCTCCTACATCGCCAGCCGCATCCGCGCTGCCGTCGCCTCGATGCCGTTTGAGGAGTTCCACAAGAACAGCAGCCGCTGCCTGCGCAACGCCGTTTTTGGCGTGCACCCCGAGACGGGGCTGCCGAAGGAGGTGCTGCGCTTCCCTTCGAACCACCTCGTCATCACGTCGGTCGACACGCAGGAGATGGAGGTGCTGGACGAGCGCACGCGGCAGGGACTGCAAAAGTCCGTGAAGATGGCGATTGAAATTACCACTCGCGCGCAGGAGGCGGAGGCGCAGCAGGTGGCCATGACCCGCGAGCAGCAGGCGCACGGCCGGCTGGAGCGGCAGCGGATGCAGGACCAGGTCGCGAACGAGGCGCAGCGCCGTGTGCTGCTGAGCGCCGAGAGCAGCGGGCTGTCCATTGTGAGCATGGGCAAGTCCAGAGCCGTCGCCGAGGCTCTGTCGACGGCCTCGTGCATTGAGGGGGAGGCGGCGCTGGAGGCCGCCAGCGTGCGCGCCGCCAAGGAGCAACTTCTGTACACGACCATGGCGGAAATGCAACAACGAAAGAAGCAGCTGCTGGCGGAGCAGGAAGCGAGGGTGGCGGCGATGACGCAAAAATACGACAGGGAGATGCGAGAGATCCACCACACGCTGATGGGCGCTGTTGTGGCCGCGCTCGGGCCTGACACGATCGCGGAGATGGCCCGCGCCGGCCCGGAGCTGCAAGCGAAGCTCCTCGCGAGTTTAGGCTTGGAAGGCTACCTCGTGACGGACGGCAGCTCCCCGATCAACCTCTTCAAGGCTGCTGATGGCATGGTGGGTCACTGATAGCGCAGCTGTCGCTACACGTGGTAGTTTTTTTTTGTGCAGGCAGGTGCAGAGTTCGCGGCATCCGTTTCCTTTCCTGCCAGCCATCACGCTTTTTTATTATTATCGTACTTTATCGACCGTTAATGAATAAAAGGGATTGTGTCTCGTGGTATATGAAGCCTCGGAGGAATTAACGGCGGCGGGGTGTGTGTGTGTGTGCCATGAACACACACCTTGCATGTGTCGTTGTTTGCCAGCAACTGTACCCCTCAGCATTTGCTTTACTCAAGGCTTCCTCGTTTCTTCTGTTGCGGCGAAAAAAGGAACAACAGCGATGGGCCACGAGGGACGTAACATAACTTCACGCATGCCGCAGACCAAGGGTTTTTTTTTTTCATCGCTTTATGGAACATCGCAGTGGTCTTCACCTCAGTTGGACCGTTTCGCATGGTTGCGTTGAGTGTTCCGTTTTCCCTTTTTACTGGCCGAGCGCACGGTGAATTCCACTTTGTGGAGAAGGTGTCTTGCTTCTTCTCCTTTTTTTACATTTCATCCCTCCTTTACTGCTTTGCTGTAGCTGCAGTCTTCTCAAAAAACACAACAAAAGTCAAACAGGAGAGACACAGGTATTCATTACCAGCGCATCTGAACGGCGCATTTTTTCTTCTGCTTTCACGCAGTAGCCCATGGTGGGAATCCGGTCACGGCGTACCGTGGAAGCCCTCGCTCTCAGCAAGCCCCCAATCTTCCTCTGTTCTCGTTTCATAAATGAATGACGGCAAGTGATCAGCTGCAACACTTTTTGCCTGTGTGATGATGATGCCGCCGAAAGGAGTGTGCTCGCTGCACCTCCTCTTTCCTCTCTCCTTCTCTCATCTTCGTTTCTACGTTTTCAACCCACTTGGGCTCTCGAATACTCCACATTCTCGCTTTTTTTTTTGCCGTCACATTTGTCTCCAATGCCCTTTTTCTGATCTGGGAAGCATAAGCAGCAGGCGGAGAAAAGCACAGCGACGTAAAGGCAAGCCAACACAGAGGCTGCGCCGCCTCCTCTCTCCCTCTCTTGTTGAGTGGTGCACGTTCGCTTGCTGTAGCGACAAGTGCCGTCGTCTCTCTCTCTCAAAGAAGTTCCTTCTTTTTGCTGTGACTTGTTATAAGCCTCACGATGCTCCGCCGCTCCTGCCCGCTTGCGAAGAACCTGTCGTCGTACGCGACGAAGGGCACGATGCGCGGTGGCATCCCTCGCATCTACTACACCTGGATGAAGCCCGGCAGCGCCACTCGACGCCGCTTCGAAAAGATGCGCAACCCCTTCGTGAACCTCGAGACGGGCACCTCGTTGTACTTCCGCGACACGCGCGATTCTGCGGAAGCCGTTGCCCACGCTGCCGATAGCAAAGGCCTGAAAGGTATGGACAACGGGGTCGACCTGTACAACGAGTACAAAATCGTACCCGACCTCTACCCTGAGGGATTCCAGTGGAAGCACAAGCTGAACACCGAGTACAACCAGTGGCGCTCGAACACGTGGCTGACGCCGGAGCTCATTCCACAGGAGCACCGTGGCCGCTTTCTGTGTAACTTCCAGCTGAACGTGGTCGCCTACGATATGCGCGTGGTCAAGTTTAGTCCAAAGGATCATCGACAGTGGATCTACTGTGTGCTTTACGTGGGCAGCGGCAAGGGCATCGCCGGCTGGGGCCGTGCCGTTGCGCCGAGCACGCAGGAGGCACGCAACGAGGCGATCCGGCAGGCGTTCTCGAACATCATCGCCGTGGACTTGGAGCAGGAGGGTCCGATGTACCCCGTGCGCATCAACGCGGACGGCGCGCGGGTGCTGCTCTACCCGGCCCGGCGCATCGTGGCGAACTTTCGCGTTGCGGACATTCTGTGTGCCTTTGGCTTCCAAAATGCAGGCTGCAAGATCAACCTGCGGCCGGTCAACAACCCGCGTGCGCCGACACACACGGTGGAGGCCGTCTTCGAGGCCGTGAAGGCGCTGCGCAGCGTGAGCGAGATCGCGGCCAGCCGTGGCAAGGTGCCGCACAGCCTCGTCTACAACATCTACCCCTACTTGGAGGAGATACGACGGCGCAAGGGCATGATGGCGATGCACCCGCCCGGCAAGGACGGCATTTTTATGCCGGACCGCGTCGTGGACAATCGCATGCCGGACCATCTGAAGAAGGGCTACTACGACGACGTCTACTGGAAGGACTTCTTCGCGGGCAGTAAGGAGCAACTGAATGAGCCGAAGATGGGCATGCGCGGCGATGAGCTGCGCGCGCAGCTGGCGGACGCGCAGAGCCACAAGGCGAAGCGGACGAAGCGCCGTACCTTAGACGACGTGCTGCGACGACTAGGCAAGACAACGAAAGACCTCGGCCCGCTGCAGGTGGTGAACCCACGCCTGGATGCAAAGCTGCCGACGCATGTGAAACGAAATTATCTGCTTCATTGAGACGGAAACGTGGCTGTGTGTGTGTGTGTGTGTATCTGTAGGTGCGCTGATTCTTGCAGTTGTGACGTTAGTGTTGATGATGATGACGTTGGTGATGGTGGTGATGGTGATCATCATGCTTTACAATTGGTTGTTTCCACAAATTTTCAACGCACCCCCACAAAAGAAAAGAAAAGTAGCAATGATACAAACATAAGAACCGGGGTAATGGAAACAATGCAACGGACGCCTGGGAAGCGGTGAAAAGGATAAGATATTGTTTTGTTCTCTTTCACGTTGTGCAGAGTGGTTACGCGCGTAGCTGGCTGGTTTGACGGCTTACCTTCTCTTCGGAAGGCGCGATGGTTGAAGAAGACAAAAGATGATCGTCAAGCTTCTTGTTCTTTTGGGAACCACCACCATTATGTTTCTGATACCACGGGGGAGCGACAGAAAGAGAGGGAGAAAGGAAAATTCCGACCTGCTGTACACTACATCCCTCAATTGCCCTATCCACCTTGAACGCTTCTCCTACATATTGCTCGACGGACACAATGATCTTGCCTTTCACCGTGCGCTGGTGTTTCGTATGTTTACCATCATCCCCAACTACCACATCAAAATGACAATGGTTTCGACTTTCACTCCCTCAATACATAAATAGAGGGAAAGAGAGCGAACTAAAAACGCAACAATCAAGAAGCAACAAAAGTCAACCTATCATAATGTCGTCAGGACGGCGAAAACTTGCCAAGGCGCTTCGCGAAGACAGCGACGGCGAAGATGGCGTGCCCACAGCAGGTCACAGCCCCGCCTCTCAGCACCAAAGCCTCGGATCGGAACTACTAAATGATGAGGAGTTCAAGTCCAGGACGTTCAAAGACCTCGGTCTGTGCCGTGAGCTGTGTATGGCATGCGCCGACGCCGGCTGGGAGCACCCCACGCGTATCCAGGCGTCCACCATTCCTGTGGTGGCGGAGGGCCGTGATCTGATCGGCGTGGCACAGACCGGCAGCGGCAAGACCGGCGCGTACGTGCTGCCCCTCGTGAACTGGCTGCTGACGCAGCCCAAGACGCCGTACCTCTCCGTGCTCGTCATGGTGCCCACGCGCGAGCTGGCGCAGCAGGTGACGGCGCAGTTTATCATGCTGGGCCGCAGCGTGGGACTGCGCGTGGCGACGCTGGTGGGCGGCACGAACATGGTGGAGCAGGCGTGCGAACTGAGCAAGCGCCCCCACGTCGTGGTCGGCACACCCGGCCGTGTGAAGGATCACCTGAGCAACACCAAGGGGTTTAAGCTGGTGAAGCTGCATGCCCTCGTGCTGGACGAGGCGGATAAGATGCTGGACATGGACTACGAGAAGGAGATCGACGCGATTCTCGAGCAGTTGCCACACGACCGCCGCACCATGCTGTTTTCCGCCACGTTGAGCACCAAGATCGACCGTCTGCAGAAGGCCTCGTTGCGTGACCCTGTACTGCTGCAGGTACACCGCAAGAACACCACTGTCGACACACTAAAGCAGTACTACATCTTCGCCCCCTTTGCGCAGATGCTCTCCTATCTGCATCTGTTTCTTACGAAGGAGACGGGTAACCACATCTTGATTTTCTGCCGCAGCGCCGCGCTGGTGCACAAGATCACCTTAGCGCTGCGCACCCTTGGACATCGTGCGCTGCCGTTGATGGGTCGCATGGATCAAACCAACCGCAACGTGGCGCTCACGAAGTTCAAGGAGGGCAAGGTGCGGATGCTCGTCTGCACGGATGTGGCGCAGCGTGGGCTGGACATTCCGCACACCGATGTCGTCGTTAACTTCTCGCTCCCCGACCACGTAGAGGACTACATTCATCGCGTCGGCCGTACCGCGCGCGCCGGGGCAGAGGGAAAGGCCGTCAACATCATTAGCCAGTACGACATCGTCCTCTTGCAGAAGATCGAGCAGCAAACGGAGGTGAAGTGTGCCGAGTATCCGTCGCTGTCCGACAGTGAGGTGCAGACGGTGCTGCAGCGGGTCGAGGACGCGGAGCAGGAGGCACTGCGCGAGATCCGGGAGGACGCGGAGGAGAAGAACTTAGAAAAGGAGTCGCGCCAGCTGACCACAGCACACAAGGGCAAGCGCGATCGCGGGGATGCGGATATGGGCTATGACGATGCGAGGCACGGCACGAGAGACTTCGCCACGCTGCGTGTACGCCGCGAGCACGAGTCCATCTTTGAGATGACAAAGAAGGAGCAGCACTCGTCTCTCTGGGCGAAGCGGCGTGAGGCGAGAAAGCAGAGCAACTCGCGACACTGAAAAGAAAAAAAAAAGCAATCATCCAGAGGAGGAGTTTAGGTGATGCTAATTGAAGAAGTCGTTGCTTGTTCTTAATATAAGTGGGAGAGCGCCGAACGTCGATTAAATAAGTTTGTGCAATAGAAGCTCAAGCAACTCTCCCTCCTTTATTCCTTTTAATATTATGTTTGCACTTAGTTCTCCAAGGAAGGCGTTAAAAACGGAAAACAAGAAAGAAGAAAACTTCGCGGACACATCGAGCTTAAACAGCAACGCTGTTGCTTCGCGTTTAAAGAAGGCTTCGCGCCCCATTGATGTGCTAACCATCTGTCGCAAGCAATTCTCCTTTTGCTTTTCTACGCTCCCATGCCGCTCTCTCTTTCTCTCTCTCCTCGGTTGTTATTATTGTTGAACACCACCACAACGCACTTTCTAACGCACACACACGCACACACACACACACACACTTCCCTGATGCAGAATCAGCTGGAGTATTTTTCTTTTGTTTTCGTGGCTCCGATACAAAACGCTGCACTGAGCGTAGTCCTACCCTCCGGCAACGAGTGTTGGCTGTCACGTGAGGAGAGCACGTAATAGGCAAGTGTTTTTTTTTTTAATGTTGTCCAAGACGCCCGCTGCGTCGCCGGCCGTGGCTGCGGCGGCTGTGGAAGAAGAGGCGTCGACAGAGCAACTGCCAAAGCGACGTCGCGTTCGCCACCACCGCGTCAAGGCGGCCCGTGAGGCAGACGCGCTGAACACGGGGGCCGCAGCGGCGGAGGAGACGCCCGTAGATAGTTCAATGGGGCCTGAGGCAACGTCGGATGTGTCACAGCACCAGCAACGTACATGGCCAGAGAAGAGACGCCGTAATGAGGAAGCGGAGGAAGAGGAGGACGAGGAGGAAGAGGTGCAGGGCAGCAAGAAAGCAAAAGGCGGCAGCAACACTGGCGAAAAGACCTCTTCTAACAAAGAAGGGGACTCGTCTACCGCCGCTGTTGGGTCATCGTCGTCGTCCCTGAATCGCAGTACTAGTAGCAGCACCGCAGAGGCCATGGCGCAACGCAGCAAGGAGCTCGCCAAGTCTATCCCGGCCGTCACCGACTACAAAGCGCTGCACCTAAACCCGCACATTGTCTCCGCGTTGGAGCAGGAGTTCCATTTCAAGGAGCTGACGCCCATCCAGTCCCGCTGCATTCCGGCCGCCCTTCAAGGCCGCGATTTGCTGGCCGAGGCGAAGACCGGCGCTGGCAAGACGCTCGCGTTTCTCATCCCCATTGTCGAGATTGTCTGTCGCGCCGGCTTCCGCCCGAGCAACGGCACGGCTGCCATCATCATCGGCCCCACTCGCGAACTCTGCCTTCAAATTGAGGGTGTTCTGCTGCGTCTGCTGAAGCACTTCAACGGCTCGCTGACTTTCCTTTGCTGCATTGGTGGGCAGAGCCGCAACCAGGAGGGCTTTAAGCTCGCCAACGGTGTCATGATTGTGGTAGCTTCGCCGGGCCGCCTGCTCGACCACTTGAAGCTCACCACTGACTGGCACACCAAGAACCTGCTGCTGCTTGCGGTGGACGAGGCCGATCGGGTGCTGGACAACGGTTTTGAGGAGGACATGCGCGAGATCGTGTCGCTGCTTCCACGCAATCGTCAGACATTTCTGTTCTCCGCTACGCAGACGACGCGCGTGGAGCAGCTGGCCCGCGTTTCCTTCCACAAGACACCCATCTTTATTTCCATGAAGAGCAAGAAGGACAAGGCCACCGTGGACACGCTGGAGCAGGGCTACGTCATGTGCCCGTGCGAGCAGCGGCTGCTCATCCTGTACCACTTTGTGAAGAAGAACCTCAAGAAAAAAATGATCGTCTTCTTCAGCAGTCGCAACAGCGTCAGCTTTCACTGCGAGCTCTTCAACTACATCGACGTCCCGTGCATCGCCTTTCACGGCAAGCAGAAGCAGCATCAGCGGTCGGCGACGTACATGCAGTTCTGCAACGCGCCCAGCGGCGTGCTCTTCACGACGGATGTGGCGGCGCGTGGACTTGACATTCCCGAGGTGGACTGGATTGTGCAGTTCGACCCGCCAGATGATCCGGTGAAGTACGTCCACCGCGTCGGCCGTACGGCGCGTGCGGGTCGCTGCGGCAATGCGCTGATGTTTTTGCTGCCGCAGGAGGAGCTCTTTCTCAAGTACTTGTACGATGATGCCAAGGTGAAGGTGAACGAGTACACGTTCGACATCAGCAAGGTGAAGAGCAACATTCAGAGCCAGCTGGAGCAGCTGGTGAGCTCCAACTACTACCTGCGCACCTCGGCGCGTCAGGCGTACGAGGGCTACCTCCTCAGCTACAGCAGCTGTCAGCTCAAGAACGTCTTCAACGTGCAGAACCTCGATCTGGCGGCGGTGGCGCGCGGGTTTGCCTTGAGCGAGCCGCCGCCGATCAAGATGGACCTCTCGCAGTCTGCCGCGCACATGAGCAAGAAGTCGCGTCATGAATTTCACAGCATGCGTAACGTGAAGGATGGGAAGCGACGCAACGCGAATGAGAAGGCGCTGAATAAGCGGCATCAGAACATCAGCGGTGAGTGGTAAAACTATGGAGTTTGCGACGTATGTAAGAACAGGTGTCTTTTTCCTTTCCCCTTAAAAAGGAGTTTTGTCTACTGTTTCCTTTAACTCGTTTAACAACGGCTTTTTTTTTGTGTCTTCCCGTTTTCACTCACGATAATAACAATAACAGCGAAGATGAGTGCTAAAAGAAGTGCATGAAATACACCTTCCGAGTTTCGTCCCTTTAAAAGGACGTAAGGAGGAAGGAAGAAAAAAAAAAACGTTGAGCAGGCGACGATGGCAAATTCATGTCAAAAGGAAAATGCGATCCTTACCGCACGTTTCTTCTGCGTGATCACGCAGCTGTGGTGTCGCGGCGATTTGAACCACTTCCTCTGCTTCTTCTGGTCTCAGGATGTGACGCGGCGATGAAGATCACTCTCTTCTGCAAACTGCTGCTAACAAGTCGAAGTTGCGCTCTTCTTTGTCTTTACCACTGCTACTCTTCTTCTTACTCTCTGCGTGTCGCTATGGGGGCTTTATTTCTTACACGTCACTTTCGTGGTACTCACTGAAAAGGAAAATGGAGAATTCATTCGAGTCGTCACACGAACTTCGTTGACGCTCCCTCGCACTAGGTGCTGTTCGCGTTCGTGTGCTTTCATTCGCCTTGCGGAAACGACCCAGAGGACTCCTTTGTTTTTTCCAAGAAAACCAACTTGCCATTTCCAATTTCCGCATCGTCACCGCAAATGGGTGGATTCCGCGAGAACTTCCGCGTCTCACTTCCTCATTTCCGTGACGGGCCTCATCATAGATAGCATCTTTTCCTTTGCCCTTTGGTGGGCGTAGATCGCAGCACCGCCCTCCCTTTTCTCTGCTTCTCTTCCTTGTGTTTTTTTTTATCCATTTAACGCTGCCGAGCTGCGGCTCTTTTGTACGTGTCGCCTACGCCTTCTGCTGCTCCCTCCTCTTTTCTTGTTGTGCGAAGTCGGGGACGAACGTTCAAAGTCAATCCAGCTGCCCGTCTCCCGCAGTCGCAAGGAACAGGACTTGGGGTGATTTCCTTCGCTCCTATTCTCTCGTCTTTTACTTTTGTCCCCCTCCTCTCCTCCTGTGCGAGGCTACTGAATGGGGAAGCGCAGTCGCAGTCGCAGCACCACCACCGCCTCCTCCGCCACCCGCCGCCCCCACGTTGTCTCCGCTGACTTCCTTAGCGTCTCGTCTGCGTCTCCGCACAGCCCGCCATTCAAGAAACGTGCCGTTGGTGTTGGTTGTGGTGCTGGTGTGGACGGTAACAAGGACGCAAATGTGGTGCCGTTACAGGTGTGCCACGAGGTGCAGCTGTCGAGCGCCATTCCCTCCGTCTCTTCGTCCTCCGTAGGTTCGTCGACTTCACAAGCAGAGGTGCTACATGGCCAAACAGGCTTCGCCCGCGCAGGCGTGAAACACAGCCGTGGTAGGAATAACGACCCCCGCGAAGACAGCACTCGCCGCCGAGGAGAAGACGGTGTTTTGTCGAAGGATTCTCCACTTTCTTCTCCGACAACCGCGAGTGCGGCTGCCCCTGTTATTAACCGCACGCTGGTGTACGACACCGGTGGCACACCTCCTTCTCCGTCAAGCAGCGCACCGGACTGGCCCACCGCTAGTAGCTCGCCAGCTTCGCCTTCTCACCCGCGACCACCACACCGCAACGTCGTGGTGCTCACTTCTACCCCAGCATTTCTCCGCCGCGGCAAGCAGCGAGACGCAGACAGCGCCGGCGATGACTCGCGTGACAAGGACGTGCACTCGCCCTCCACTTCCATGGCCAGCCCACTGCGACTCATGCGGGCAGCACAGGAGTTTCTGTCGCCAGTGCGCTCGACGCTCCTGCGCGGGTTCTCGCATCTCCGCCAGTCCGTGGCAGGGAGCAACGCCCCGCGCACACGCCCAGCTGCCCCGGAGCGCCGAAGTGACGTGCGCACGCCGCCGCCCCCGTCACCTTGGGGACGGCTGAGCTCCATCAGGCCCGCCCGGGAACACCTGCCATCTCTTTCTGCGGACTCGAGAGGCGAGCCGAACCGACGCGGCAGAGGCGGGCAGCGCCTCCAGCCCGCCGCTTCAGCACCGACCCTTCTCAGCTTGGGTGTGTCCTCCATAGCAGGCAGCCGACGATCATCCGTGTCAGCTGTCGACATGTGGGGTTTCATTGAGAATTCGCGGAGCAGAGTTGAAGGGCCGCAACGCCCGACGATTCAGCGTGACTCGGCGGACGCACTGGCGAGCTCGACGAGTGGGCGGGCGTCGTCGTTGTCATCGTCTCGCATGTCGTCTCCCACGGCGCGCGGGGTGGGGGAGGCGGACAACGGCACCACTGATCACCGCCACGACCGTGTTCGCCGACAGCACCACCGTGCCAGTGAGGTTGTGGATCTGCAAGCGGACGACGTGCATCGTGGTGGTGGGAGGGCTCTGGTCGGGCCGTACGATGCGCGGTATGCCAGCGTGTCTTCGCTGAGCGAGTCGCTCGCCAAGGTCGTGTCATCGTCCCACAGCACCGCGCAGTCTAGTCTCACCTCGGCAGGGGCCGCGGCGTGCGACGGTGCCGATCACAAAGATGTCTTGTCCGCCGCGCGTGACACCAGTGCGGGTGCAACACTGCCGCGTCGCAGCGCCACACTCATGGACCCGAATTTCTCCACGATTTTGCCAGACGAGGAGGAGCAGGCGGTACGTCGACGCATGCAGCGCCACGGACACGGCCGGGCGAAGGTGCTGTGTGCGCCACCACAGGAACACCTCGCGTCGCAGCGCGTGCCTACAAACGTGTTGGAACTACCTTCAGTTCGTCCTCCTGCGCCACGCGAAGCCCCGAGAGACGCTCAAGCACGCAGAGACAAGACATCGCGCACGTCTTCTGAATTTCACTTAGGCACTGACCGCGCACAACAAGGCAGCGACGGCAGCGAGACGACTGGGAATGCAAAACCCGCACGACAGGAGCACCACCCCTTTCGCTCCGTCACCGCCTCCACACCGCTGCGGCGCTTGACGGGACGTGCAACACGCACCATGTTCGCGCTGTGCGCCGTGATCGCCGTCTTCTGGTGCATCGCGGCAACCGCCTGGCCATTGATGGCTCTGCAAACACCTTACGTTGGCTGTCTAGGAGGGTCTTTCAGCGCCACCACCTCCACCGGCACCCCTCCTTCGTACGCGGATTCCGATGCTGTTTTCCGTTACACACATGTAAACCCCGTGTCGGATCTGCAGGCTCTTTACCAGGTTGCGCCTGCCTCCCTTGACGCGGCAGAGGTCGACCGACTCTACCGCCGCACGCTCAGTGAGGGGGTGGAGCGACTGGAGCGCGCCACACAGCATTTGATTCCGCAGGACAGCACCCCTCCGCCGCACCGCCTCTTCTTCTTTCGCGCGATGATTCACGCCTACGTAGCTGTGCAGCGCAACAGCGAGTTGTACGCCCGCAGCCGTGACGCGAGTCTCTGGCGGCGCCTCCTCTGGTATCCGCTCGCAGATGTGCTGAAGTACGGTTTTCACCGTTTTGGTGCTTTGTCGCGCACGGTGTCGCTCACGCGCAGCTTTGCACGTGACTGGCAGGACCGCATCCGTGCTTCGGTCGCCTGCAGCGCACAGTCGGAGCTCGTGAGCTGTCCATCGCTGCTGTACGTCGAGGAGGCGATGGCGCGAGCGGCGGCCCCGTTTGTGTACACAGACGCGAATGAGTTCCACGAGTCTCCGCAGCGTCGCCGGCGGCTGCAGGAGTGGCGCACGCGTCTGCACCGTGACTGGGAGAGCGAGGTCTACCTGGAGACGCTGCTGAGTTACATACGGAGCAGCGTGCAGGAGTCAACGCGCGATTACAATCGTTGACGGCGGGCACGCAGTCTTTAATCAAACGAAAGAAATCGAAATCACCAAAGGGAATCAAAGTGAGAAGGGCGCTGCACTCTTTTTTTTTTATTTTGTTTTTAACCGTCGTCAGGTCTCACCGGCTACGCTGATGACGAACTACGAGGCAGTGGTTCTCTGACGATCTATTGTACACTACGCACACCAAAATACAACAGCACAAGAATCGGTATCAGCTGCGTTAGACAACGAAAGGAAAAGGCGAGGTGCTCAAGCAGAGTAAACCCTCCTCCTGTTTTTATTGCTTTCCAACAAACAAAAACAAGACACCAGCATTTAATACCAGTGATAATTGCTTTCTTAGCGCGGTGTTGCCGAGCGCAGTTGTTACTGATGGAAACAACAGGAAATGCATGGGTAGCGGAGCGCAAGTTCCTAAATGTACATTCTTTTTTGTTTCTCTGTTGCGCACATGCCGTGCTCGTTTCACTTCCAGTTATCTACTTCTTCTTGTCTCCGTCGTACATCCTTGCCTCTTCTTTTTCCTGCTTGTTTTTGCAACGCCATTTAAAGTGCTGGAAAGGTAGAATATCGGTTTTGCTGTCCTTTCCCTACTATTCGTCTTTTCCCACACAACACCGTGAACTGCTACGACGACAGGTGGTGGCCAAAGCACTTCTGCCATTTGGATTCGTGCTGCACTTTTTTTTTTGAACTGAAGTATCGAAATAGTTGAGTAGCCCACGCATCGTCGCATTTTGCTCTTTCATTATTTCGTCCTTGTCCGTATTATTAGTAAAGAAAAGAAAAAGAGTACCTCAAAAACAGTTCTTTCTGTTTTCCAATAGCTGAACTCGTCGTTGCATTGCATACCGTAGTTGTATTGATAGTTAATACGCGTTTTTTTTTTAGGCCCAGTTACATCGCCCTCAGAGAGGATTTCCCACATTTACTTCTCTTTATTTGCTTTGACTGATTCGGATCACATATTGTTTTAATGCTGTTCCATGCCGTTTCTAAAAATAAAGTCTCCTCTTAATCAAAAGCCTTTTCTTTTATCTTGAAATCGAGCGAACAAAGTAGAGCAACAACAAACCCTTCATAAACGCCTGCGGCTTTCACGGTGAACACACCGCACGTACCTCTTCCGTGAGGTACCGAACGTTGCACAAGCTTTGTCGCGTCGTAAATCGGTGCAGACGGTCCTCTCTTTTTTTTATTCTTAGGTTCCTCACCTTTTTTTCTTGCTTTAATTCTTTGTTGTGGTCTCGTTGCTCTTCTCCACCTCTTCTGCTCTTTTCTGATCTGTTTTTGCTGTCTTCCTCCTTCTCGCCTCTTGTAAGGCCGTCGTAGTGTTTTTCGTTGCAACACATCTACTACTATTTTTTGTTTCTGCTCTTGTAGCTCTTTTGCACGTGCTGCCAACGAAGCAGAGAGCGCGTTTCTTTCCATTCCTCTTTGCTCTTCTAACTTTTAACGCGGTCGAGTTGAGTTCTGCAGTCATCCACGTGAGAGCGACGCACTCGCACACACACGTACATTGAAGCCGAGTGTATGTGTCCATCTGCTGTACATTTCCTTCTCACTTCTTTTTTTTGCTCCATTACTTGCAGGTCTGTATTCGTTTAAAAAAGCAGAAAGAAAGCGAATTGATGAAATAAGGGCTGTTGAGTTTTTCAAACATATTCCCTCGTTTGCACGATTTACCTGTGTGTATTTTTTGGTTTGTTTTCTCCCCTTCTCAATACGCTTGCACCGTTTCAGTAACTGAATTGCTTATCCGTTGTGACGGTCGTACCAATAAAATCTGGCTAACGCCGACCGTAAGGACCGCTTCGAAGTGCATCCGAGGAGGCACTTCATCACTTTCTCGAAGAGAAGAGGACTTTTTTCTGGTGTTTACGTGAAAGAGCGTCTCATATATATATATTCTGTTTCCTTTCTTATACCCTTATTGAGTATGCGTATGAACTAAACTTTGAACTAATAATTAAAAACAAAGACGTTTTTTTTTGCGGTTCTCGCAGCTCCTTGGATTGAGACCGGTACTGCCGTTGCCGAAAGGTTGCAACTCAGAAAACTGTTCGACATCAACGGTCGATACAAGATTCTTCTCCTCTCTTCGTGCTGTGATCCACGGTGACAGCAGCGCACTCAGGCTTTTCACGGTTGCTGGAGGCGCAGCCGAGACGGACACCACAGGGCCGTGGCACTCCATTCCGGAGAAAGAAATCATCATCAACAACACGACAAGTAAAGTCCTTTGTAATGACTGGTGGCATGCCGCTTCCGCCGCCGCACAGCGCTTCAGCCAAATCGCACCTGCCCGAGATTCGCGCGGTCGTGCTGGGTGACGGCTGCGTCGGCAAGACATCCCTCCTCCGCCAGTACCTCGACCATGAGGGCCTCTCCTCTTCCTCCGAGTACGAGCCAACCCTTCTAGACTCCTACACGCAAATCGAGTACTGCGGCAGACAGCCGTACCGGGTGTATTTTACGGACTGCAGCAGCGCGCCAGAGTTTTCGGAGCATCGTGCGGCCTACCTCGCCAAGTGCGACGTGGTCATTTTGGTGTTCTCCGCACTGCACCGCAAAACACTGTTGAACCTCCGGACGTGGATGAAGGAGGTGGTGAAGGCGCGCACTTCGACCGGCCCCGTCCGCTTTGCCTCCACCGCGGGCGACTTCAGCGAAGTCCCCATCTTTGTGGTGGGGACGCACCACGCCGAGAAGCACGCGGCGGCGGCACAGAAGTCGGTGCCCCTCTCCGAGGCAGAGTCCATCACAATGGAGTGTCTGCACTTGGCGGGGTACTTCGTGAACGAGGAGGACGCGGAAAGCGAGGAAGGGCTGCATCTGCAGCGGGCGGCGATGCTGAAGAAGGAGGGGAAGTTGTCCAAGAAGAAGCAGTCCCCATACGGCTTTCACAATTTCTTTGCGAACTTGTTTAGAAGTGGTGCGGTGGACTACAACGACGACGACGACGATCGCCGTGGAAAACCGTGCAAATCGAAGTCAAGCGATAAAGCAGCCAAGAAGAGCAAGAAGGAAAACGAAGCCAAGGACGCTCATCGCTCTTCCTCGCATTCCCGCACCGTCTCTCAGCTGCACACCCCGTGCGCGTCCTCTGCAGAAAAGCCGCCCAGATTGGCAGAGCCGACTAGTGAAGGCGTGACGCCATCCGACGGCAGCCCATTGCTAGCGTTGCCGCCCGGCGCGTCGACGTATCTTCCATTGTACATGCTGTCCAACGCGGATGGCGAGGCAGTGAGCACGGCGGTGCGTGCGTCTCTGGCCCTGCACTTGTGGCTTAAGCAGCCGGACGACTCGGACGAGGTGACACCGCTGACGAGCCCGTGCGCGCGGAACTCCGCTGTGCTCGTGCTCGACAACCCGATCAGCACCGTCGGAAGCGGGCAAACGCGGTCCACGCCGCCGGCAGAGTCAGCCGGCCTGCCGCCGCAGCACGGGCGCACAGTTTCGGTCGTGTCCCACACCTCCCACATGAGCGAGCGCTCCGCCGCTGCGTCGTTTATTCCCTCGATGCACGCCCTGTACGGCTCCGTGGCGTCTCTCGGCGCCTTTGAAACTTCGTTTCGTCACAGCCGTGCGGCGTCTTCGGGTCCGCTGACGGAGGGCAGCTCGCCCTCTGGGACGGGGCAGCCAGCGCAAGTTTTGGTCGCGGTAGGCGAATCCACGCCGCAGACTGCAAGCTCCCCCGGCCTCGAGGGCAGGACCACCACGGAGCCGTACCCAAACTTTTCGCTGAACGGGCTGCGTAACAAAAAAGGTCCACTGAAGAAGCCGGTGTGGTGCTCGCCGACAGTCATCTCTCCCACTCGTGCCGAGGAGCTGAATGCTGGCGCAACGCCCAACATCGAGAGTGTCCCTCCTGGGCGTTTACCGGCATCACTAGAAGCCCCACAAAAAGACGTGACACCACTGCAAGATGGGCAGCTCGTACACGCCAACGCCTCCATCCACGTCTCCTCCCTGCCAAACCCGCGACAAGCCACGGCGCCGAATACCGCGACTAAAATAGGAATCACCGAGCGTGCCTGTGAAGTTCCCCCCTCCATCCCGACTGACGATTACTCGGCATTGTCCGGTAACGCAGGGAGTAGCAGCGTCCACCCGCTGCCGACGTGGGCGACCGCCGACACGCCCGTCCCGCGTGGTAGCCGCGGCAAGGCCGATACAACGGGCGACTTGCCGGATCGCGTGTGGAGGGACGTCGACGCGGAGGGGCACGTGGATGCCGCCACAGACGCCCGCGACACGGCGTGCACTGCGGACTCGGTGGTGAAGAAGCTGGCGCTGGAGCGCGAAGCCAAGAGTCTCGCGGCATCGCCCACCACGGCGCCGCAGAAGCCGCCGGTGAAATCGGCCGGTGCCTCGCCGGCGAACAATTCCCTGCGGCAGTCCCCAGCCGCCTCCGAACCGATCGCCATGTCGCGTCACCGCCGCACGTCTTCCGAGTCGTCCATCTCCACCCTGTGCAGCCCCAGCGCCTCGCCGCTGTCGGGCGAGCTGACCCACACTCACTCTCGCGCGCCGTCGCTCGCGTCGCCTTCGCAGCCGCAGGGGGTGAGTCGTTCCCAAACGTGCCCACCACTGCGTGAGGAGGAGGAGCTTGCAAAGAGCGGCTCTATGGTACCGTTGAACGGGCCATCACGCGCCGGCACGAAGAGGGATGCGCAACAGAAACAGAGCACGAAGCAGTGCACCACCGACGGCTGCACTGTCATGTAAGGACGCCGTGATAGCGTATCTGATTCGTTTAGTTCTTTTGCGTCTTTGATCATTTTCACTTCCTTTCGCTCCCATTTTCCTCTTCTTCTTCTTTGGTTTGATGCGAAAGAGTTCTCTTCTCTTCTGCTTTCCTCACTCCTACACCAAATACTCTGCGCTTACTTTTTGGTTCTCGTACACACATATATGTGCTTGTTCTGTTCTTCATATTCGATGACGCCGACTTCGGGTGTTTCACTCGTTAGGGTTTTTTCTTCTTCTTGCATGCGACATTTCCCTTTCTCTTTTTTTCTCTCTCTTTGCTGTCTGCTGTTTGGCACCCGCGTGCGGTGCAAAACGCGGGAGCTGTGCTCTTTGCCGGTGCCCTTTCTATGTAAGTGATGTATTCACGTATGATAGAGTTCATTGTTTGTGTTCCTCCCACCTACAGCTCTGCTCTTGCGCTGTGTTAGGGCTTCGGTAATCGACAACGCTGTCTCCATCGCCCTGCTCGTCAAGTATCGGCGGCACTTTTTTTTTACCCTTGGTCTTTTTGCGCGTGTATGTGTGCTTTTGGAGTTGCCGTCTGCGTTGTCAGCGTTTTTGTTCTTCTGTTTCTGCTGCTTTTTTTTTTCTCTGTCTGCTGTTCCATCAGAGTCCTTTTTCCTTTCCTGTAGCTTTTTTGATGGAGGGAGGAGAGGCAACGGCGTTCTTTGCGAAGAGCACATACTATCTTCCCCTTTGTTTTCTTGCTCACGGGTAATTGACGATGTCTTCAACGAGAGAGAGAGAGAAAGAGAGGTCTGCTTCGTCGCCGAAGCAGTCAAAGCAAATTGGAGAGTAGTTTGGTGAATCAAAATACCGTGCAACCTGGCAATAAGGGAAAAAGGAAAAAAAAAGAAAATCAACTTGTGTGTGTGTGTGTGTGCAGTCAGCAGTGTCGCGTGAGAAGTCGCGAGGGTTGTTTTTCACACGAAGGAGATACTCTCGCGTAGTGACTGTGTCATTGCTGTATGCGAACAGAGCACACTTCGTTCTAAAAAAAGCGTCTTCTTATTCAGCTATTTCAATGGACACCGCTCAAGAAGAAGAAAAAAGATGCGTCTCGACGTCTCACGTTCTTTTTAAGTGCGTGGCATTCTTTGTACTTTCCTGTCCACTTAAATCGTTTGGGCAACGCGAACACGAAGGAGGAAACTCGTACGTAAGGCCGGTGTGCATTCTACTCTCTCACCTTCGACCTTCTCCTCTCTTCCATTTTTCTTTCTCTATCCAAACCGTCCGCGTGTGTGTGTGTGTGTGTGTGCTTGTGATTCTTACCCCCCCCCCCTTTCTCCGTCTTGTGAAAACGGTCAACATTTGGACACGACGGGAAAAACAACAACACCCTATCTCTTATTGCCCCCCTCCTTCACAATTACAACAATAAGAAGCGAAAAATAGAAAAGAACCATGGCAACACTTAGCCTTTCTTCGCCGTCGGTGACGCACCTCATGAGTATGTCCGCGCCAATCGGCTCCCTTGCCACCGCCATCTCCCCCGCCAGCGAGTTCCCGACGGATGGGGCTGTCAGCGCCACCCACCCTGTGGCGTACTTCTCCATCGCCCTCTGCGTTCCGGCGTTGGTGGTGCTGCGGATGCAGGAGGCGAACACGGCCAGCCGCTGCGCTCTCTTCCTGAGCTGCACGACGTTGAAACCGAACGCAAACAGCGCCTCGTGGCGGCTCATCTCACCGGAGCCGGTGAAGCAGCTTGTCCTGCACCCGGCAGATCCCGCCTACCGCGTAGGAATGCTGACGATTGCGGTGCATTACTTAGAGACGAGTGGGCAGAGTAGCTTTCAGCTGCGCGCCGAGGTGCGGCGGGATTTCTTCGCGATGTGGCTCCGCACAGGCGAGGTGCAGTGCAGCGCTTCCACCACTGCGGACGGCGCGGTCGAAAACGGAAATACGCAGGGAACTCTGCAAGTGAGTCACACAAACGCGGGACCATCGAAGGCGATGATGTCAACGCTGCACGGTGTTCTCGCGAGCGCGGCGAGCCGTACCATAACGTCGCCGCATGCCGCCACCGTGAACACGCGCGGTTCCTTGTTCACATCCTTGTACATTGGCGACTGGCGCGGTGATCACCGCGAGGGATTGGGATTTCAGTACTACGCCGCTCCTGACGACGCCGCCGCCTCTGGAGACGGGTGGCAGAGCGCCGTACGGGCCGATGAGAGCGAGGACGAGGACGAGGCGGCTACGTGTTGCAGCGGCGATGAAGGAACGCACGCGGGTGGGCTCCATCCTCAGCTCTCTACCACTTCTTCGCAGCATTCCATCCCCTGGTTGGCAGCGACGTCGGCGAGCGGCGGTGTAGTGAACCCGCTTCTGCTGCTGCGTGCGTTCTGCGAGCGTCACAACCTGCCGTGGTCGGCGTGGAGCATCCCTGACACCTTCACGGCGGATGAGCTTGCCGAGCTGGGCTTCGGCTACTCCTTTCGCTTAGCGGGGTCCAACCAGCTTTCAAGGATGGCGTCGAAGACTGGGAAGGAGGCTCGCAAGGGAGACGCGGACGCCGCGTTGATCACCCTCGTGAAGCCATCCTCGCCGCACCCCTCTCCCCTCAATGCCGCTGTTCCCACCACCAACACGCCGCCTCTCCCGCCGTCGCCGCCCATCAAACCTCGTGCCACCGCCGTTGAAGGGATGTTGGTCCTCGGCAGCGTCATTGACCACCTCCTGCTGGCTGAAATTCGTGACGCGGACTTGGGGCACTGGGCGGTGCTGCCGGTGCAGCCCGGTGTCGAGGTGTACGCGGGGGAGTGGTCCGCCAACTGCAAGGATGGCCGCGGCTTCTATCAGTGGCTTGACCGCTCCTACGTGGGCGAGTGGGCGGGTGGCCGCCGCGAGGGCTTCGGCCTGCTGCGCCGCAAGGACGGGGGGTGGTATCGTGGGCAGTGGGAGCGCCACGTCCCGCACGGCAGCGGCGAGGCACGACTCATGCCGGAGGACCTGCTCTACAAAGGGGAATGGCGCAACGGGTGCCGCAACGGACGCGGATGTCTGACCTACCCGGATGGAACAGCGGTGCATGGCGTGTGGGTGGCGGACGTGTTGCTGCCAGAGGTGCATGCCGTGTACGCAGACGGCAGCACCTACGACGGCATTTGGGGACCGGAGGCGTGTCGGGAGGGTCGGGGCACGTGGACCGACACGGAGGGATGCCAGCACATCCACACCTGGTCGCACAACATGCGCGTTGGCGAGGGAAAGGAGGTCTACCCGAATCACGTCGTGCTGGAAGGGACGTGGGCGGCGGATGTGCTGAAAAGCGGCGTGTACGTTTTCCCGAACGGGGAACGCTACGTGGGCGACGTGGACGCGAAGCAGCACGTGCGCGAGGGCAGCGGGACGTGCACGTCGGCAGATGGCTTGACGGTGTATACGGGTGGCTGGTCGCGGGACAAGCGCACCGGGCACGGCGTCTTTGTCCGATACCAGAGGAACAAAGCGGCCACCAGCAGCGACTCTAGCGCTGCCGATCCAGGAGTGGTGGTGGTGGAGCGGTACGAGGGGGAGTGGATGGATGACACCCGCAGCGGCGCCGGTCACCAGGAAAGCGGCGACGAGGTGTATGATGGCACCTTTGCACGCGACTGCCGCGACGGCACCGGCATGCTGCGCAACACACGCTCGGGCTCCTTCTACCAGGGCCACTGGAAGGGCGATCACCGCTGCGGGGCCGGTTCCTGCTACAGCGCCACCAAGGACATCACCTACGAAGGCGTTTTCTTACACGACCGCCTCACCGGCCCCGGCACCGCGACAAAAGGGGCGTCGCAGGAGCAGTACGACGGGCTGTGGCTCGACGGCATGGAGCAGGGCCACGGCTCACTGCGCCTGGCCAACGGTGACACCCTCCGCGGGGTGTGGCACCGTGGGCGGCCCGAGCTGGACGCCGAGGTGGAGTACATCGACGCAGCAGAGCGGGGTGCCATTCGCGACTCGCGCTACGTGGGCGGGTGGCGCGACGGCGCGCGGCACGGCAACGGCACCCAGGTGCTGCGCGATGGCAGCGTGTACGAGGGGACATGGGCGCACAACAAGCAGCACGGCCGCGGGCGACGCACCGCTCCGTCTGGCGAGTCGGTAGAGTGCGAATGGGTGCACGGGAGCATCATTCCCGGCTGCATCGCGGCGGTTTGCTACACCGATGGAAGCGTCTATGCAGGACAAGTAAACGCGGCGGGCGTGCCTCACGGTGCTGGTGCGCTGACGTACCCCGATGGCACTGTGTTTGATGGCCAGTTCACTGATGGCATCTACGAGTTGTAAAACTAAAGGAACACAACGTGACTCTTTTTCTTTTTTTAACGGATGTAAAGATTTCCCCTCCCCCGAAAGGTGGCCACATCAGTGCAGAGAGAGAGAGAGAGAGAGAGAGAGAGATGACGGCACACAGTAGCAGACGAACAAAAATAATATATATATATATATATATATTTGACGCTGTTGATTGTTGAAGCCTGGCTGCTGTTGGTGGCGTGCGTCGCCTCAGTTTTTTACATTTCACATGTAAACTACAAACTTGGAATTGATTTCGTTTTTTATATTATTATTGCCATCCGGTAACTAGACAAAAACCAGAACGGAAAATCAGTAATTGAAGTCGTAAGGACTGCTTTTTTTTCCTGTGCCTTTGAAAGTGCAGTGAACACTTGCAGCGCTTGATGCCACAGTCGTCGTTGAAGAGGAGTTTTCTCCTTAAAAAAGCCTCTCTTCATTTTTCTTTTAAATCGGGAAACTGCTTTTATGGAAACTTGACGGCATTAACGCTGTCGTTTCCACCGCTTTCCTTTGTTGTTGCTCGGTGTCTGGGCGTTTCTCTGACTCCTCCTGCCCTTTTGCACCGTTGTCTCCCGCTTCATCAACTATCAGGGGAAGGGCTTGCGACCCGCTCTCCTTGCACATTGAGTAGCGTAGAATCTCATAGGCATCACGATCTGCGCTGTTACGGACGGGGTTGCTGCAGTCTTCCGTTCACACATGCTAACACCTGCCGGGAGAACTCGCGTTTACATGTGACGTGAGTCAACTCCCACTTTTTGCTCCATCCGCAGCGATATCCTTTTCTTTTTCTGATTAGTTAGATCATCGTAATCAAAAATACATTACGTTACAATGGACGACAAGAGCGGCTTTTTATCCCTCGTAGTGTCCGAATTTGCCAACCAGGACCTTTCTTACAACTATGGCGGGCATGACACGATTCCCATGCACGCAGACGAAAACCTGCAGCCGCCTTCTTTATCACAGGTATTTAACGGCGCCTCCAAGAGTCCGCCGCGGCGGACTCCAGCGGAAGGTTCTCTGACAGCCGGCGCGGCTATCCAACAACAAGCACCGGCCCCAACAAGAAGAGCAGAAACTGGAGAAGAGGAGGATCGCACGCGTTCTCAAAAGCCGCCGCTCCACGCCTTCTTCTCCATCGATCCCGGTCGCGCCGCCGCAACGATTTCGCCCGCGGACGAAGACGCCGTCACGCAACGGCGATGGTGGGCAGACACCGCAGAGGTCGAGTCGTTCCTGACGCAGCTTGACCAGGCACGTGAGGAGTGCGCAGCAGCGGGTCTCTACACCAACGCGCAAGCCTGCATGCAGCGCATGGAGCAGGCACTGCGTTTGTTCGCGAAGCGCCTGCACGCGGAGACGGACGCGGTTGCGTCAAGGACGCGCGAGCGCATGGTGGAGCAGCAGAAGCGCAAGCGGCTTGACCTCCGCAAACAGTGCCGAGACAACGTCACCGCCTACAAGCGCGACGCTGCCGTCTTGATCGCCGCCACGCAGCAGCACTATCACGCACAGCTAGAGAAGGAGGACATGGCCATGCGGGCAGACTTGCGCCACAGCGGTGACAGTGCAGCCGCGACAGACAACGGTTCTGCTGGACCATCGTGGTCCAAAGAGGTGCAGCATCTTCAAATGGAGCTTCAGCAGTACCTCCGCCAGCGGCGCTACCGCGATGCAGCGCGTGTGCGTGCGCAGCTTTACCTTCTAGAAAAGCAAGAGACCACCGTTTTCCAGCGTGAGGCGACGCAGCGGCAGGTTCAACGGCTGCAGGCCCGCAAAGCCGCACAGGCGTCCGAGCTGGCGGAGATGCAGGCCATGCAACGCCACGAGGTACAGGAGATGGTGCTTGCAGGACGGGCAGCGTTGAACGAGCTGACGCTGAATCATCTTGCGGCGCTTCAGACCGTGGAGGATCGCCGCCTGCACCTCCACGCAAAAACGCGCGAGACACTGCACGAGTACGAGCACGCGGAAATCTTGGATCCCAAAGCGACGGTGTTGAAGCTCATTCGGTTGTCTCAGCTCCTGTGGACTCCGCCAAGCAACGCGCAGAGGTGAAAAAACCCCGACGCCACACAGAAAACATCAACAACAGTGCAGCTTTTCGAAGTGCTTCTTGCTCTGGCGCCTCCATATTCTCACTTAATAAAAAAAATTATCTCTCTTACCCTTACGAAAACTGCCGCTTTTTTTTGATAAGATCCTTGTTGCACTCCAATTTGCTGTGATTGCACCACACCCATCCAACAATGTTGCATCAGGCAACTCACGTCCGTTCGAAAAGCCGGTGAAAAAAAATAGAACACCATTGGACGTCGTCACAGATCAGCGCTAATAATAGTCATCTTAAAATACCGAAAACTCAACTCTTTTTGATCATGCTTTTTAAAGTACGGAAAATGGTTGTCTCGTGTGATAGCATTGCTGCCGAAGAATGCGCTCTCTCTCGCTGAACAGATCGTTGCACCTTCGCTGTCACCACCCCCACCACCCCCACCACCTCCCTTTTTCTCTCCTTCTTGTGCCTTCATGCTCCTCTTGTTCTCTTTGGACCTCTATGCCGTTCCTGTCTTTCAGGCTAAGCAGGGAGGAAATATCCGCGCTGGAGCACAAGTACGAAACACACACACGCACAGACGCACAGACGCACTGTGAGAGCGGGAAGAATATTCTTTGTTTCGTCTTCTTCCTATTAATTGTGTTTATCTGCACACAGAGCCGCTATCTTCTTCTTCTTCTTCTAAACGAGAAGAACGCAACCAGAAGCACTTTGGTTATAGTCGTTGACGTAATCCGTCGTAATAGCGCAGCCCATCTCCTCAGCACCACAAATATGGGTATTGCGGGCTTTTTCCTGTGGCTGCAGCGCTGGTATGCGGACTGCATCGACAACATCCCACAAGAGGTGGTGGACGCCGCTTTGCATGGCAACGCCCTCCCACCGGACCACTGCAGCGCCTACGCCTACGACAACCTTTACGTCGACATGAACGGGCTCATACACCCGTGTTGTCACGACACCGCACCTTTACCAGAACCAGAGAACGAGGAGGAGATGTTTGAGCGCATGTTTGAACAGCTGGACCTGCTCGTAAAGGTCGTGCGACCTAAGAAGTGTCTCGTGCTCTGCATCGACGGCGTCGCACCGCGCAGCAAGATGAACCAGCAGCGCAGTCGGCGCTTCCGTGCGGCGGACGAGCGTCTGGAGAGCGACGCCATCTCCAACGCGTGCGCAGATCGTATCGTGACGGAGTTCAAGCTGCCCCGTCCGCGGGTGCGAGAGCGGTGGGACCACAACGTCATCACGCCCTCCACCGCCTTTATGGAGCGGGTGGCGCTGGCGCTGGAGTGGTACATCATGAAGAAACTGAACGAGGACGAGAACTGGCGCCACTTGACGGTCGTCTTTTCGGATGCGCATGTACCCGGCGAGGGCGAGCACAAGATCATGCAGTACATCCGTGGTCTTCGCTCGCAGCCGGGCTACGACTTCCACACAACCCACGTGATCCACGGCATGGACGCGGACCTCATCTGCCTTGGCCTGTCCACCCACGAACAGCACGTGAGCATCCTGCGCAACCAACTGACCGACACCTTCCAGCCCGACCACAACCGTTTTTGCTACTTCAACCTGCACACCTACCGCGAGAAGCTGAAGAAGGACTTTGAGGATATTGATGGAATGATGTTTGAGCGCGTAGTGGACGATTTCGTTTTCTTGTGTTTTTTCGTGGGCAACGACTTTTTGCCGCACGTGCCGCTCGTCTCCATCAAGACGCGCGGTATTGAGATGCTGCTGGACCACTACGTGCGGGACTTCCCCTTGCACGGCTACCTCACCCAACTCGGCGAGGTCGACTACGCCCACCTGCACATCTTCCTGTCGAATTTCGCCACCAAGTGCATGGGTAAGCTGTCGAAGGAGTACTACGGTGTGGTGCGCGCGAAGGAGCGGGCGAAGCAGCACGTCGAGGAGCGCGTCACCAAAATGGAGGAGCAGGCCAAGGAGGTGGCGGAGTCGCTGCAGTCTGACGGCGGCAACGCGCAGGAGGTCAGCGACGCGCTGCTCGGCTTGCTGACGTCGGTGCGGAAGGAGCGGGTGCGGTTGGTGGTAGACAAGCAGCCCCTCGGCTTCTCCTACCTCGACAAGACGTACCGCGACGCCTACTACCAGGCGAAGTTCGGCTGGGATCCGTCTGTCAACCGGTCTGCTTTCGAGAACCAGATCCGCCTCTGCTGTGCGGAGTACCTGCGTGGGATGCAGTGGGTGATGCGTTACTACACGAAGGGCTGCCCCTCGTGGGAGTGGTACTTCCCCTACCACTACGCACCGCTTCTGCAGGACCTCGCCGCCTTCACCGCGACGGTGAACGTCGAGATGCGCATGAGTGCGCCACTGCACCCGGTGGAGCAGCTCCTGGCGGTGCTGCCGCGGCTGAGCGTAAACGCACTGCCAGAGGAGCTGCACGACGCCGTAAACGACCCGAAGTCGGTGCTAGGCAAGTTCTACCCCGACGTGGTGGACGTCGATTTTAGCGAGGCGAACTTCTCCTACCAGGGCGTGCTGCGCATTCCTTTCATCAACTGCGAAGCGCTCAGCTCCGCCTGCAAGGAGGTGGTCGAGCTGGAGGAGGACTTCGGCAGCACTTTTCTTTACTGCCACGAGTCCACCAAGTTGGCGACGCAGCTAGACGCGCTCACCGGTCCTGGCAACGATGGCCTCCCTTTGTCCTCTGGGTTGGCGCCTCCGGTGGTGCCGATCCCCGCCTCCGTCGCGGCGCTGACGCCCGTGGCAGGGCGTGTTGGCCGGTACGAGGCGGAGTGGCCCCGACACGAAACGCTGCAGTGCCCCGACCCCGGGCTGGCGAAGGGCCAGCACTACGGCGGTCCCATTGCCGATAACTGCGTCAATCAGTACCGCTACGAGCTGAGCACGCAGGCGGACTACCGCCCCGTGCTGATGGGCGCGGAAAAGGCGGTCGAGCCGGCGGCGGCAACAACGGCGGCGAGGAGGAAGGCGCAGGGGACGCGCGTGGCGCCCGTCCACGGCAGCCACCACAAAGACAACGACGGCGAACGCTACCGTCGCGACAGGGGTGTGGAGGACCGCAAACGGCGTCGCAGCCCGAGCCGCGGCGACCGCAAGATGGACGGCTCTCCCAAACGACGCCGCAACGATGCTGACCAACACGACGGCCACCGCCGCACACACTCGACGCGCTCGCACAGCGACAGCAAAGTACACCGCCATGACAAGAGTGGCCGTCGCAGCGATCAAGACCACCACGAGAGCAGCTCGAGTCCACGCAGCTCTCCGCGCGATGAGGATCGAGGTCGCCGTCATCACACCTCGCCGTCGTCGTCGTCATCGAAGAAGAAGGATGACAAGGAGCGCAGCCGTCGCTCTCACGGTGCCAAGAAGGAGCACCGCGCACCGGCGAAGGACACCGCGGCCACCAACCATGCGTCGAACCACCGTAATCGCCGCCCCCACGGAAGCAAAAAGTGACAATTCAGGTTGTTACAGCTTCAACTTAGTCGATTCTCCGAGAACAAGTACTGCTTTTCATTGCTCACATCTTCTTCATTCTTCTGAGAGAGCAGCTGAAGGAAGCGCCGTTTTTTTCTTTTTTGAGGAGCGTATATGAATCGTTAAGTTTTTGTTTCTCCTTCTCCTCGTGGGATCTCCTGTGTATTGCGTTTAAGTAACAGACTACGAAATCAAACCGTGACCAAATGCAGCAGTCAGAATCTCGACGTGTTTTGTGTTTCCTGAGCGCGGAACATAACGCTCATTTCACAAAACCGACGCGCCGTTCTTGTGCGTTTCATTGTGTGTCGCCCTGTGCCGTTTTCAGAGCTGTTTGTCAGGTTGTCGGTGCCGTCGCTTCTCTTCTCTGCTCTTCCCCTTTCACTATTACTCTTTCTCTTTCTTTCCTAATTTCCATTTCTTTTTCGTTGACACTCATCATAATGATCACATAAAAAACACAACAGCGAACACTAGGGGGCAGGCAGAGGAACAGCCGCCAGCAAGAATTACCACAAACGTCCAAACACAGGATTCATTAGCCCAAGGAGAAAACAACAGCGACGACCACACCAAAAATGCCGCGAACTCCTCCTCCTGAAAGTTGTCGCGGCGGCCCCTCCACTTCTTCTGCGCCCTCCATTACCGCTTTCAAGGTGCAGGAGAAGTACGCGGAGGGCATGCGCCTGCTCCAGAGCGGCCATGTTCTTCTGGCGATCCAGCAGTTTCAGGAGGCGTCCTTTTTTGACGCTGAAGACGCGCTACCCATCGTCGCGCTCGCCGAGTGCTACGTCTTTCTGTGCGACCTCCGCTCCGCCATCCGCTGCTACCGTCGCGCGTTGTGGTCACTCCGCAAAAGAAAGCAGCGCGCTCCGCGGGGCCAGCAGGGACAGAGCGCGACGACCCGACTGGCCGCGCGGGACGGGTCTTTTCATCCGAACTCGCTCTCGTCACTCATCACGCAAATTCCGACAGAAGTCGCGGCTCAGCCACCACTGCCCCCACCGCAGCGCCCCAGCACTGCGCAGTTTCAGCCGACTTCCGTGTTTTTGTCAAACGAGTTGCTGCACGCCGTCTCGGAGGGCCGGTTTGTGCCGGAGGGCGCGCAACAGAATGACGTCAATGAGGTGAGTACGGAACAGTTAGCGGGAGAGAAGCGGCAGCCGACACGAGGCACGAGCGTCCTCTCACAGATCGACGAAGGTTTCCCTTCTACTTCGGGTGACGGCCCGAAGGACACGCACCACAATACCCCACCGCAGTCCACGGCTTCGCAGGAGACTGCCCCGCCCCATGAGCTTACCGCAGCAGAGGTCCGCGCACGACTGGCGGGCGTGCTGGACGCGCTCGGCCTCGCCCTCTTCCAGGTCGGCAACGTGGAACAGGCGTTGCGGTGCACGACGGAGGCGTTGGAGCTTCTCGCAGCCGCCAAAGCGGCGGAAAAAAATGAAATGAGTGCACAGGCAGGTGGCCACAGCAGCCCGATACCGATGCGGCTTTTTACGAAGCTGCAGAACCCGTACATGAGTGAACCCACCATCGCTCTTCATCGTGCTGTCTTCCTCGTCGCTCTGCAGCGTGAGGAGGAAGCCGAGGCCCTGCTTGACAGCCACTACGAACTGTTCGAGGACTTCCGTGCGCAGTCGGCGCCTCTGTTGATCCAACTCTACTGCAATCGCCAGGCCTTTCGGAAAGCAAGGCTGCTGCTAGAGTCACAAGAGGAGGGGCTACAAGGTAGTGCTGCCACTCCAGGTGACGAAAGGATGTTGACAATCCCTGATAAGGAGGCTTCATCGGAAACAGGAGCTGCTGACAAAGGTGATGGCTCGCATTCTCCTTGCCCCACCCAAGAGGGAGGCAGACCTGAAGAAACGACGGAGGAGCCTGCGGATCACCTCGGCGCCACGGTGACCTTTCCTCCGTTGCCCACACCGCTCTCTCTGACCGTGGCGAAGTACATCTTCACGGAGTTGTACGCCCGCTACCGCAGCGCCGCCTTCACCAGCGATGACGAGGACAGCGTGACGCGGTGCCTCGACGTGTACCCGAACGATGTAGAGCTTCTCTTTCGACGTGCCCAACTCCGCATTGCTGCCGGGGAGCTGAAGCGTAGCGTCAAAGATCTGTTTCGGTGCGTGCAGGACACAAACGGCGAGCACAAGGAGGCGATTGAGGCGATGACGACGGTCCTCTTCACCATCGGCTCCAGTTTGGACGGCAAGTCAGAGATGCAGAACGCGGTCACGTATTACTCCGAGTCACTCAAGTGGCGTCCCGATAACGTGCTGGTTCTGCTGGCTCGTGGGGACTGCTACACCAAGATAGAGTCGTTTGAGGAGGCGCTGGCGGACTACCAAGCTATCTTGAACTACGCACCGGAGCACCGTGAGGCGCAGGGACGCATCGCGGCGCTGCACGACTTGTGGGGCCGCAAGTTCTACGCGCTCGACGACCCGGCCCAGGCAGAAGCGGAGTTCACGAACGCCATCAAGACAGACAACAAAAACCCGGAGTATTATTATCATCGCGCTTTGTGCCGCCTGAAGCTAAATCACGGCCAGTACGCGCTGCGCGACGTCTTGTCCTGCAAGGAGCTCAACCCTGCCGCGCCGCACCTGCGCGCCTTTATCGCGCGGTACATGGAGCCCATGCAGCTGGCGGAGGCAGCGGAGGAGAAGGAGAAAGACAATACGGTAGTGCACCGGACCGTCACCACCTCCGCTGCCAGCAGCCGTCAAACACGGATGGCGAAGACGAATGCTGCCGCAAAATGGTACGGATCGCGCACTCCGCCCTCGCTGCCGATGGAAAGAAGTAGCGCTCGAGGAGGCGTTACATCCCGCAAGAAGCGCACCGAGGAGTCGACGAGCTACGGGATGTCGTTGCGGTCCAGCAGCGGCACCGCCGCTGTCTCCCTCCCGTCCATCTCTACGCGCCGCCCACCTTCTTGCGACGCAGCTACGGAGGGGTTGGTGCAGGGTTATCAGACGACGTTGCACCGCCGCCAAGGTGAACCGCTGTCTCAAACGAAATGAGGGGAGACATTTTTTTTTTCTGGAACTTCTTTCTTTCCCTTTCTTTTTATAAAAATTTTTTCTGTGATGTACAGACGCTCTTATTGAAGCCTTTCTTTTCTTCTTGTTTACGCCGTTTGACTTTGAGGATCAGAACGCATCCCAGTATTATTATTGCTGTGATTGAAGCCTTAGCTTTCTCTTTTCCCGTATACTTGTGTGTCGTAAAACCAAAACAAAACTTGGTACAGTGAACAGCATTTGGGTTTTAGGAGGGTGTCAAGGGCTAGCAGCAGATACGTTGCTCTGCACAACGTTCTCGGCGTCTTGTTCACGTGTGACCTTTGGCAAGTTGATCTCTTCACCGACGTCAGTCCATTAGATATCAGCAAAGCAGCAAGAAACATAGTTATGCGTCGCCAACTCCGTCACAGTGCAGAACTGTTCGGTTCTTCTGGATTCACACTTACCTACTCGTTCACCCTTCTTTCCATTCAACTGTTGTGTTCCCCTCTTTTTTGAAACATTGAACCCCCTCTCTCTCCTCACGTACACACGTACAAACGCACACACGCACACCAGTTTGTGTTTGCCTAAACAAATACGCACACACATACACACCAACATAATCAAATTGTAGAGGAAAAGAAAAAAAAAACCCACTTGTGTATTTCCGATAATATTGTAGCATAGGTAATATATTCCAGAACTCTCTGTATTTTCGAGCCCCTTCAGAATGTTCCGTCGCGCTTTGGGAACGACTGCCACGTGCAGCGCCACTAGTGCCGCCGCGTCGGTGTCGCGCCGCTCCTACACTGAGCTGTCGCACATGAAGTACCCGGTGTACTACAACGCCGTCGGCTGCGTGGCTGGCTACTTCGCTGTGATGTGGGTGGTCTTCTGCCACATGGGCGCGCAGGAATCCTCTCGTGGCCAGTACAAGCACGACTACCTGCGTGTGTGGCGCCGCAAGCTCGGCACGGGTTACCAGTGGGCCGATGCCTGGGGTCCGCAGATGGACACCCTCTTCAAGGACCTGCCCGAGGAGGTGGAATAAACAGCGGTGGGGTCATAGTTTTCATATTAGAAGTCGTGGGGACACGTCAGCGATTACGTTGGACCAAGTGGCGGAGTGTCGGTTTGCTCCGATACAGTTGTGCCACTGTGTTACGCGAGCGCGGGCTGCGTCTTCCTTTTTCGTCTGCTCGTCACGCCTCACATCAGCCGTGCTTATCGCGTGTCTGCGCCAGAGGTCGGGGTGAGAGCCAGAAAAAGAGGGGGAGACCTGGGCGGAGGCAAAGATCCGTTAAAGGAGGTCAAATTGGCGTCTTCGCTCCGCGTGCTCGACTTCTTCGTTCCGTGTCAGCGTCGGCAGCAGCAAAACACAAACAAACACCCTTTTTGTGTATAGTTTCTGCTCTTTTTTTTTTAGGAGCCAACGTACGCGTGAGGTATGCGGTTGAGTCGTTATCTGAGTGGGTTTTTGTTTTCTCTCTCGTTCGATGCGTGGCTTCAAAGAACGAGGACGCGCAGCCTCTGATATATTACGTAGTGGAGTACGATTGCTGCTTCTCTTTTGATCTTGTTTTTAAATCTAGTAGGCACTTCATCAACTGAAGCAACAAACACACACACACACACACACATACTTTATCTTGATTTGTCGCACGCGCGCGTGTGTGTGGAGGTAACGGGCCAGTCTTCTTTTTTTTTTTCCTGTTTTTGCCTTTTCTTCGTTTTCTTTTGTCAATTCGAACGGATTACATCTTGTGATGAAAACAAGAAACCACAACCGACATCGATGTCCTCTGTTGAGGGAAGCAAAAAGGAGAAAACAACAACAACACCTGAGCGTCATTACATTTCTTTGTGTTACCTGGATGTGCGACAATATCTGTAGTATTTCCTTTTTCTTTTTATGTTCTTTTAACATATATTTTTCGTCTTCCTTTTTCGCTGTTTGGTTGACCGTTGACGGTCTGAGGAAATAAGTTTTTTGTTGTGTTTGGAGTTTTTTGCGGCACCACCAGCATCAACCGTCGAATTCAACAAAGGCAACGGAAAGAAAGAAAAGAGAGGGGTTGAGGGTCATCCCTCCTCCCCCAAACGGAAAACGAGATCGTTCCCGTTGCCTTGAAAGAGTACTCAGCCTTCACACCAAACTTGTGAGGTGCCTCAGGTAGGGAGGCGTTAGGCGTTGCTACCGCGACTTCTTGCTCCCGTGCTGTGGTGCTTTCGTTTTCTTCGTTGCTTCCTCTCCGTCTTCTTCAGTGCTGACGCGGCGCTTGTGTCCAGCGGGCGGCTCACAGCTTCTGAGAGGAAGAATTGGTGTGTAGATTGGGCGGCAGCGTGTACTTCTGGACAGTGCACAGAAGAATACTGGAAGCAATCATTACCCCGGCGTCAGTCTTCATGATTTTCGTTTCACTGACTCTCACCAACGAATTTCTCACCTTTTTTTTTTGAGAATTCCTCATTTCGTTTATTCCTCTCCATCTTGTTGTTATGCACCGCGATTCTTGCGCACCACGCCTGTCAAAACGCCTCCACCAAATTGGCAACCGTCGACATAAGGTTCCTCTACTGACTTTGCTACTACTTTAACTCGCGAAGATACAGAGTAAAACTCTACGCTCCTCTGCACCGCCTCCCTCCACAGCCAAACACAACGGAGATAAGAACGGAGAGAAAAAGAGAAGATTAAACACGTGCAAAGCGACATGTCCGACTTACTGCAAGCTGTCGGCGGCGAAGGCTTCAAGCCTTTTGACCTGTCGAACCCGGCTCAGTACGCCAAGGGCAACACACCCATGATGTCGAAGGCTGCCTGTTACATCAACGGCACCTGGGTGACAAGCAAGCGCACCGACAAAACCATCGAGGTGGAGGACCCGTGCACGAATCAAGTGATCGGTGTCATTGCCCACTTTGGCAAGGAAGAAACGCTGGCCGCCATCGCAGCCGCGAAGACCGCCTTTGAGAGTTGGAAGAAGGTCTTGCCAAACGAGCGCGCTGCGGCGGTACGGCGGTGGGGCGAGCTGATGACGCAGGCCGCGGAGGGCATGGGCACCATCCTCTCTCGCGAGTCGGGCAAGGTGTTCGCGGAGGGCAAAGGCGAGGTGATCTACTCGGCCAGCTTCGGCGATTGGTACGCCGGCGAGGCGGAGCGCATCTACGGCGATGTCATTTCCGGGCCGCATCTTGGCACGCAGGCGACGGTCTACCGCGAGCCCATCGGCGTCGTCGGTCTCATCACACCGTGGAACTTTCCTGCTGCGATGATCACCCGTGCGGCGTGCGCGGCGATCGCGGCGGGCTGCACGGTGGTGCTGAAGCCGGCCCAGCTGACGCCCTTCTCCGCCCTGGTGCTCGCGCAACTGGCCGGGGAGGCTGGCATCCCGGCGGGCGTCTTCAACGTTGTGACGGGCGAGTCGGCGAGCATCGGCTCCGCCCTCGTCGAATCCTTTGACATCCGCAAGATTTCCTTCACGGGCTCGACGCGGGTCGGCAAGCAGCTCTACCAGGGTTCCGCGGAGACGATGAAGAAGCTGGGCCTAGAGTTGGGCGGCAACGCGCCATACTTGGTCTTCGAGGACGCTGACCTGCCCCGTGCCGCGGATGACCTCATCGCCGCCAAATTCCGCAACTCCGGCCAGACGTGCATCTCCGTCAATCGTGCCCTCGTGCAGTCAAGCATTTACGACGAGTTCACGAAGCTGGTGGCGGACCGCGTGAAGGCGCTGAAGGTCGGCAACAGCTTCGACCCCAGCGCCAAGATCGGCGCCGTGATCGGCAAGCCCACGGTGGACCACATGGCGAAGGTTGTGGAAGACGCCGTGGCGAAGGGTGCGAAGGTGGAGGTGGGTGGACACGCCGTTCCAGGCGCCGGCTACTTTTTTGAGCCGACGGTGCTCAGCAACGTCCCCCACGACACCGCGCTGTGCTGCCGCGAGGAGCTCTTCGGTCCGGTGCTGCCGATGGTGCGCTTTGACACCGAGGAGGAGGGTGTGCGGATGGCCAACGACACCCGCGCTGGTCTGGCCGGCTACTTCTCCACCAGTGACTACCGCCGCCAGTTCCGTGTCGCGCATGCGCTGCAGTTCGGCATGATAGGCTGCAACGACAGTGCGATGTCCGCGGCATGCATTCCGTTTGGCGGTGTTAAGGAGAGCGGCCTCGGCCGTGACGGCTCCAAGTACGGCATCGAGCCTTTTACCGACTGCAAGTACGTTCTCTTCTCCACCGTGTAAGAGACCGCTGGGCTTGCGTTTTTTTTTTTGTTTTCTTGTTCTCTTCACTGACGAAGTGCGACACATGCAAAAGTCTCCTAGATGGGTGTTACAATCGCACCGGTCTCCCGCAGACCCGTGAACGTCTTTCAATATGTGTTGCAGTCCTCTAATTGTACCGTCACCGTACAACACCATCTCTTGGGGGTTTTTTTTTTGCACCTATTCATCGTTTCGAGCGGCCCGCTTCTTCCTTCTTCATTTTTGTTTGTTTTTCATTTCCCTACCTTCGAACGTTTCGACATATACACACAGACATTTATCTACGTAGACCCCCCCCCACCCCACCACACACACACACGTTGATCCGACTTACGGTGTGCTCATTGTTTCCATGCTTTTTCTTTTTTCCGTTTTCGTGCTTGTCATACACCTTTCCCAATTCCTCCTTTATCGATGTGTGGAAGCACGTGTTCACGCCAAAAAAAAAGACCATGTGTGTGTCTGTGTCTGCGTTTGTGTGTGTGCGAGTCTGCATATCACCATATGCGTTTTTATCGCGAACACGGCTCCACCACCGATTTTCTTTTTTCCTTTCGATGACTTTAACTACGCGGCATCACGTTCTTTTCGGGTTTCCCTTTCTCTCTTGTTACAAGCTGATCAGACATGCATGCTTGATGAAACCCAATACTACCACGAGGTTGTGCCACACAAGTGTTGGCGGGCGGGCCAAAAAAAAAAGGTAAGAGCTGCGTAACTCTTTAATAATAATAATTTGTTGCGAATCTGCGTCCGTGGCGCTGCACTCAGATTCAACAAAAAACGCGGCTGCTTCTTTACCTGTATCGTACCCGAAATGTCCAATCTTCACTTCTCCTTTTCTTCTCATAAAACTCAATTCTTCTTCTTTTCTTTTCGCGACGTCGCTTCGGTCGTGTCAAACACCCCGAAACAAACAAAAAATCTGTCAATGTGCGCGCATCAGAGTAACGAAGTCTTCCTGTTGTTCTACTGGAGATTGAGAGCTTTATACGGGTAAATACTTTTCATTTGCCCCCCACTCCCCGACTTAGGAACTTATGTGCATGGTAGAAAAATAAAAAGTAGTGCAAACATTAACATCAATAGAACCCAAAACCAAGTTTAATTATACTCTCTTTTTCGACTATGCGGAATTTTTTTTTAGTTTTCTTCTGTAAAAAAAAAAAGGACCCACGCGGAATGACGCGCGTTACGACGTGTTTTTTGGTGGTGGCCAGCGTGCTGTTGACGCTGCTGGTCAGCCACACGAGCCAGGCGCTGTGCCCCTCCAACGGCAACACACACACCATCTACGTCACGTCCAACATGGGCAACAACATTTGGTCGTTCGATACGCAGGGGAATTACCTCGGCGCCGTGCTGAACCAGCGCTCTTTTCCCAAGGACGTGGTGGTAGACAAGTTGCGCGCCATGCGCTTCGGACCTGACGGCCACATGTACGTCTCCAGCGCTCGTGGCTCGTACAGCCGCGTCTTCGCCGTGAGCGGCAACGGTTTGCTGAACGGCACCATGGAGGTGAACTGCACGCGCAACTACCTCTTCACTGTCGTGGAGCAGGACAAGGAGAACCCCTTCTTGGACCACCCCTACGACATCGCTTTTCACCCCGCGACGCACGACATGTACGTGGCCAACCAGAACTCCGTGACCGTCACCCGCTACAAGCGCAGCACCGCGGACGACACAAAGGCCAGTTACGGCCGCAAGCTCGCCTGGAAGCCGGCGGGGAACGTCAAAGCGGCGACGGAGGTGAACGAGAGCACCGCATCCGCGATGAATGCGGCGGCGGTGCCTGAGAAGGTGCCTGACAACGCCGGCCTCTTCGCCTCGTCGTGGAGCTCGGCGTACTCGATGAGCTCCGTGCGTGGGTTGACCATCTCGCCCTTTCTTCCGCGCTCCCTCGTCGAGGAGGGCAACAGCGCCGGCGTCTTTTCTGTCTCAAACTCCTCGATGATGTATTACCTGCTCGTGTGCGATGCGACCGGCAACACCGTCCACGTCTTCAACGCTGAGACGGGCGAGCGCCTCTTTGGCATCAACGTCCCGTCACCGATCCAAGTGATGTTCCCCAGCCGCTACTACGCCGACAACGCGGAGACACCTTTTGTAAGGGGTAACGGCGCCATGGTGCGGCGCTTCGAGGTGCCGTACATCTACGTGACCAGCAAGGATGACGGTCTCGCCTACATGGTCCGCTTCGGGCCGCACCTGACTTCCGCCACCACCAACGGCCAGCAGCGCGGCACCTTCGCCGAGGAGTACATCCGCGCCCACCGACTGTACACGATCAACCGCCCTGTTCCACTGCACGCAGCCAGCGGCATCTACGAGAACTCCGCCCGCGACATCCTCTTCATTGCCGATCGCAACGGCCGCCGCATCTCCTCCTACGCGTCACCCTTCCTCACCGACTTCACGGGCAGCTACGGCCCCTCGCCCTTCCTGGGACCCTTTGCGAAGAACCTCCCCGACCAGCCGGAGTTCATCATGTCGGCGCTGCTGGAGCACCAGGAGAACATCCCGTTTTGCTATGAGCTGAACAGCGAGGGCAAGTTCCGCTACGTAGCCCTCTGCACAGCCGCCTCGATCTGGTCTGTCGTATTTGGGGTAATTCTCGTTCTGGTGCCGCTCTTTATTGTGTTCCGCCAGATCCAGTACTGCACCCGCGCGCGAGAGCGCCACAATCGTCGTATGCACAACGAGGGCGGCGAGGGGGTGTCGGGCGATGCGAGCGCGCCGCTGCTCGGCCATCAGGTCCCCAACTACGGCTCCGCCGCCAAGTGAACGTACAGAGGAAGTGAGGCTGCTCTCCTGTAAAAGTGCAGGAAGCGATGTAAGCCACAACCACCACAAGAAGAGAAACAGGTGATGAGTCTTTCTACAGCCAAACACAGATTCTTCTCATGTGTGAAGACAAGAAAGAACGCAAAGCAAAAGAAAAGGAGAAGAACGCCTTCCCGCTCCATTTTTGATCTTTACATCGGATGCCGACGCTTTGTGGAAGCGCAGAACTTTTTCTCGCGGTTTTATTTGTGCTGTTGTTGAAGGGGTTACCTGTCGGAGCAAAGGAACTTTTTTTTTCTGAGGCAATTGAAGGTTGCTCATGTTTGCTGCGTAGGCACAACCTTGGTTTGAATGGCTAGCGCCAACATATTAAGAGCCGTCGACTCTGCAGTTTTTCGTTTTCCAATTGTTTCACAATAAAGGTTTTATGAGCTTTCTTTGTTGCAGTGTCGCAAACACACACACAAAAACCCCGTCTGCGCTGGTCCTTTTCTTTCCGATTTCTTTGCATCGTTTCGCTTCTCTCGATGGATTTTGCTTCATTTGACTTTTGATATCCTCTTAGGGGTCGTGACCTGTAAAAGTAATAATGACCGGTCGGCTTTTACGGCAAGTAGGCGGAAACACACCCTCGTTTAAAACCAAAAGGAAAGAAATGAAAGAAGAATTGTAGCAACAGTGGAGGACACTCAAGACTCTCTTTCCCTCAATCCCTGTTTTCTCTGTCAAGAACCACAGGGGTGCTTTTTTTTTCCGTTGGCTTTTCATCATACATGAGGGGGGGGGGGGCGGTAGTTTTTCTGCTGTCTGTTTGGTCTGATCTCATTCTGACACATCTTGCATCGAAAAGAAAAGGAATAAATAAACCTAACACGAATAGGAGGCTGCATAAATACATGGGAGCTTAAACTGAGTGAAGTTGCTCATCCTCACTCGCTCGAAAAGTTTAAAAAAAGAGTAATTAAAGAAACGAAGCTCTTCTCTTTCCCTTCTGAGTTTCGTTTTTCCAAAGATCTCGTTTTTCTGTTTGGTGTCCATAAGCGGTTGGCTTCTTCCGTAAAAATAAATGATGATATATAATAATCGTAAACACAAAAGTAATGGAGGAAAAACGAATCAGCATTTATGGATTGCCGAGGCTCGATGACACATGAATTGACGTTTTTTTTTGTTGTTGAGAGGGAGAGTACCTCTTTTTTCTTGCACATGTTTCACCCCCAAAACGGCCGGTCACATCTAGCTTTTTACTTTGTCATGTGCCGTTTTCTCTCTTTTTCTTTTCTTTTAGGTGAACCTTTTTTCCCCTTGTACTGAGGTTGCGTAATTTTTGTTTCTTACGCGGGTACTTGGTGTACTGCCTTGCATGGATGAGACCGCAAGGATGGCATAGGAGAAATCGTAGCTGCAGTGGCGGTCGCAGCTTTGTTCATGCAAACTGGTGGTGGAGATGGAATCTTAATTGTAGCTCATTTTCGAAAAAAGAAAACATCGACAAACGAATATAAAAAGACAGCTGCACAGCCGATTGTAGTTGATTACATGTTTTGTACTTGCAGCTCAAAAAGTTCACCTCACTTTTTTTTTCTATGCTGCAACCCGAAGCGATTCCGGCTCGCTGTACAACACAACGAGCGGCGACGCGCGTCGATGACCTGCAAAAGGCCAACAGAAAGTTGTCGAAGTGAGAACCGCGTAATGCATGTTGTTCCTTGTGTGTGCGTTTTCGTTTCTTGGGCCTCTCCTTGGTGCTTGCTTTCCCAGTCTTTTAGAGCGTGGCTTGTTGTCCATCTCTCAGTGCGCGGTGCCCGTGAACTGCGGGTTAAAGCTATCAGAGCCAAACTCCCTCCTTCTTGTCTCGTTTCTCCTCTTTTTGCGCTTCTTTTTTCCAGCTGCAGTTCTCAACGCCTCTATATTTGGGACTTTCGTGCGACGATGCAGCGAACGGCTGTACGAGGCGTGGGAAATTATTCCCGGCTCCCTGTCGGCCAGCAGCGACAGCAGACATCGTATTCCGTGTCGCAGCACCGGTCCACCTCTGTGTTGGGTTCGCTGATACGCATGCGCAGCCAATTCCAGCGACTGCGCAGCTCGCAACAACAGCAGGTGATCGCTGCGGTGCTGGAACGAAATCGCAAAGCCCGCTATCTCGGCTCAAAAGACACTCCTCTCTCATTATTGAGTTCGAGCGAGGGTGACGCCGGCGTTGCTGCAGACGAGGAGCAAGGCTCCAGCTCAAGGAACGTCAGCACAACAATACACGCGGGCTTTCTGCTCTGCGTCGAAGCGCAACGACTCCTCAAGGGTGAGGGGCAGTCAAAAACGCCGCTCTCCGATGTCGCGGTGAGCTCGCCGTTGTACGCTGCGGAGGCGGGCAAGTTGCTTTCCACTGCTGCCGCCTTTGGCGCTTCTACCACCTTCCCCCGTGTGCAGGAGGTCTGTGCGTGGATCCGTGCCCACACGGATTCCTTACGAACTCCACGGCAAATCATGTCGCTCTGCATGCCACTCGTTAACTTGGCGGACGGCGCGACTGCTGGTGTGTCATTTGTTCTGGAGGTGCTGTATGAGCCCTTGCTGCTGGCACTGCAGGAGGACGGTAGCGGTGCCGCGACGCAGGCGGAGGGGCCTTCTCCGTCGTTGTCGTCGCAGCGGATGTCCTCGGGTGAGGACATCACCGGTAGTGGTGCAAATGTGGAAGCGCAGCTCGTGGCCATAACCTCAGCGTTTGGCATGGTGGCGAAGTGGTCAACTGCGTTCCTTGCGCGCGAGGCAGACACCTCCAATGGCAACAGTTCAACCAAAACGACGGACGCCGCTGCTGCTGCTCTCTGTAAGGCCGAAGAGCGAATGAAGATGCGGCGGATTGCGGAGTCGAGTGTGGCCGCCCTCGCACGGCACACCAGCGAGTGCGCCGGCGACGGCGGCAGCGACAGGTCGCACGACATCGTCTACGCCACGCTTCAGCAGCTCTCGGTGGGCGACGTCGTGCTCTGGCTGCAGTGCCTGCACGGTGTGGAGAAGACGTACTTCTTGACGACCATACCGATGGCAGCGGAGAACGAAAAATGTGAAGCCATGCAACGCCTTTTGCTGTGCTACCGCGTGCTGCTACCTTTGATGCGGCACGTACTGGAGACAACGGGAACGACTGCACCGGCAGGAGCCGCAACCCCAGCCGCCGGGGGAAGCTTCGCGGATGGTAGATCCGTGGCCAGCGCCGCCACCACGACGGCCTCCGTAGCTCTCCGTGTGCAGGACTTGACCGATCTCGTGCAGACGGGGCTGTACTCTAGTATCGAGTCGGAGCACCAGGAGCTGGCTCTTCAGCATGGGTTACAGGCACTGCCTAGGGCGTTGAGTGCAGCAACGAGCAGAGAAGCGTGCCTCGTGACGCAGGTGGTGAACAGGGTGCGGCTGCAGCGACCCGCCGCACTTTCTGCTGCCCTGTTGCGCGCGGTGCTCGCTGCGCTGCGGCCGCGTCTCTTTATTCTACGCGAGTCGCAGGCATACCACCTCCGTCCGCAGGACTGCAGTGTGCTGTTGTCGCAGCTCTCACGGTGGGAGGAGGTGCCTGGTGTGACGGTGAGCGCCGACATTGTGGAGCTGCTGTCTCAGCGCTTTGGCGAGCAGATGCCGATGGTACAAGGAGCCCAATTGGTGCCTTTTGTGCAGGCACTAGCACGCTTCGAGGAGAGACACCGGCGCGCAGATCGGCATGAGGAAGATGCGGCGACGGAGACGGTCAGAAGGGATGACGGAACAGCATCTGGCGGCGTGGGTGCGCGGAAAGGGCGCGACATAAACGCCCCCATCTCCACAGCCGGAGCTGTAGCATCAGCGCGCCACTGTCGCCGTGCGAAGACAGTGCGGTACTTTTACTCCAGCACGGCGCGGGTCGTGGCCCAGTGTGCGCAGCGCGCTGCCGTGCTCGCATCGGAAGAGGCGTTGAGCAACGGTAGTAGGGGTGGAAGCGGCGCACCTCCCGCAGACCAACTGTCAGCAACAACGGATGCTACGAAGGAAGGCGGAGCGCCGCGGCTGTCTCCCACGGAAGCGGCGCAGTTGATCAGCGCCTTTGTGCAGCTGTCCTCTCCCCAGGTGGAGTTTGTATTTACACAGGTAGAGCCACTGCTGACAAAAGGTGCAGTCACGCATAGCTCCGCAACCGGCGTCTCTTCCGCTTCTTCCCCTTCAAGTGCTGCTGCTGCTGCTGCTGCTGCGGAGCTGTACGCACGTGTGACGCTGCAGGAGTCTGTCATTCGCTTTATTGAGTTTATGACGCAACTACACCCTCGCGAGGCACACACGAGCTCTGCCGCGCAGCGAGCGAAGGTGTTGTTGGTCAAAATGGATCGCACGCTTGCCACCGTCGTTCGTCAAGCGGCGCGACCCAAGGATCTGGTCTTGGCTTCGTCACTCGTGCGCCACAAACTTCTCGATCATCGCCCTATCGAGGTAGACGGTGACGCGGAGGATGCCGATGCGAAGTTGAGCCGCTCTCATGGCGACAAAAAGATAGCGACGTCGTGGCGCCGCGCGGATGTGCGCTTGGCGACCTGCGTTGCGAAGCAGGTGTGCGTTGTTGCTGCGCAGTGCAACGGGTTCGAGGTCGGTGCGCTGACGGTTGCTATCGGCGCTTTGGCGGCGGCTGGCGTTCTGCCGGCACCGATGACACGGCAGGCGATGGAGGCGTTGTGGACGAGGTGCGTTGAGGGGCTGGAAGCCGCAGCGTCCACCCAGAACGACCCGGCGGCGACGACGACAGCGCCACACCCGACTGGGACGCCCGTCACGCTCACACTGGACGACTGTAAGAAACTGATGGATGGGGTGCGAATGACCTTTTCGGCCCTGCCGCCGTGTGTGCAGACGACGATTCCGCCTCTTGTGTTTCTGGACACCTTCACGATGTTGTGCGCCGATCTCTCCACGAACATGACGGCGAGAGATGCTGCAACCGCAGACGGGGCCGGTGACCTTGTCCGCGGCACGTCTCGCTCCTATGCGAATGCTCTTGCCGATCTGCGGCGCTACACAACTCTGGGGCGTTCTATCTTCTCGTTTTTTGCCGCATGCTCCTCTTCTTTCTCTTCTGCTGAAAGCGACACGGTGACTCCAACGCGTGCGCAGCAGTGGAAGATGCGTCCAGAGGCGTGTCGCACTGCCGTCGAGGCTTATCTAAAGGTGGTGCGTGTGGTGATGGAAAGCTACGCGACGGAGGCGTCACTCTCCGCGTCGTGGTGGGCCGAGGCGCCGACAGGCAGCAGCAACAACGTGCGCCGACCTCCCGCCGTACCGCTCGAGTTGTTGAGCATGACAGCACGTGTGGTCACTCAGCTGCAACGATTTGTCCATCTGCGCGACGGCGCACCGAAGCAGAGGACAGGCAGTGCGGAAGTCGACGCAGTAGAGGACCGGAACCCGCTGGTAGGTGGTGAGGTGGAGGAGCTGAACATGGCGGCAGCGGATGAACCCACCAGCGGTGCCGTCGCACTAAACAACGACGAGGCAGGTGATGATGAGGACAGCGACGGATTGACTTCTGACGCGCAGATGTCGCTCTCCACCATCGATGCGGTGGTGTCGGACGTGCTCGGCGTGCTAGGGGACACCATTGCTCTTTTGGCTAGACAACAGCAGCAGCAGTCAAACTCTGATGCTTCGTCGGCCGCAGAGGAGAACGATGAATCGAATGTGGTTGATGCAAACAGGGCGACAATGAACCCGAAGCACCTCCTCATGCTCCTTCAAGCCTACGAGACGGCGCGATATCGGCATCCTGAGATGTTGTACGGCATTTTACCCGAACTCCGAAGCAGCGCCAATCAGCTGGACCCGCTGGAGCTATCGCTGCTGGTTCGGGCACTGACGCGTCTTGGCGCGTGGAACAGTCGCCTTCTGCGGGTGCTCGCCACGGCGGTGGAGGCGAAGATACAGACCTGTGAGCTTCGTCAGTGCCACACCCTCCTGCAAGGTCTTTGCCGCTCCGGCTGCGTGAGTCCGAACACCTTTGTCGAAGTTCGAGGGGCCATGTACGAGGATTGGTCTCGCGCCGGCACCCGACGCGGCGGCGCCCCGCAGGAACCGCTGCAGCGACTCGCGGAAAGTGTGCTGTGGCGTCTCGATGCCCTGGTGTGCACACGCGACGCATTCGTTAGCCTCGCCCACACCGCTGAGTTATCCGATTTGGTGAGCGTGGTGACGGCCCTGCGCTTCTTCCACATGCCGCCGCCGCCAACGTACGATGCGTTTGTGGTTCTTGCGGTTCGTAAGCTCGTTTCAGTTAGTGAGAGACGGCCTGCGCGGAAGTTGGTGCAGCACTGCGTTGCCATCCTCAGTGCCATTTCGGATCTTCGTCAGCCGGCGCAGCAGCGCGTTTCTGCAAGTGCGGTGTGGACGGTGGTGCGTCGAGTGTTGGACTCCGGCGATCGACCGTCTTCTTCTTCCGCTGGTGTCGCAGACGACGCGTCCTCGCTGCCTGCGTGCTGGCAGCTGTGGCGATTGGCCTCTCTGCAGTCCCTCCAGTATGGAAGGGAAGCCACAGGAGTGTTGTTCGAGGTGTCACCCCAAGCGGCACCGGAGCGGCGTGCAATGCTCTTCTCTCGTATCCGGGAACGGCTAAAAAAGGTCGTCGAGGCGTATGCCTGGGGTCCTGACCCCCAACGTGACCACCCGACGCAAGATGTCGGAGGTTCTGCCCAGAACGCCGGGGACGGTCGCTGTGGTTGGCCGGTTCTTTCCCCTTCCGGACAGGTGGCGCTCCATCGACATGGATTACACGCGGCGCCGTCGCTGCTACGCAGTGATCGCGATCTAGCCGAGCAGCTCTGCTTTCCGTTCCAACTTGCTCTTCACGTCATCAGGCAGCAGGATGACCTTTCTATCCTCGTGAGAACACCGCTTTTTACGGCTCCCGCAGCGCAGGCGAAAAGGTTTGTGCGGCTTGCGGCTTGTCTGTTACGCGCAGACTTGTGGGACAGCAGCTCTATCAGCGCTGAATCTCAATTGTTGTTGATCTCGGCACTCCAGCTACTGTGGAGGCACGCTGACTTGCATGGCCTGCTGTGCACCTCTCCAGAGGCTTTCTCAACAGAGGAGCTGGTGGTGCTGGCCGCGGCAGCTGCGCATCTCCAGCAGGCCGGTATTGTTGCAGCCAAAGACGATGCGCAAGTGTACGGTGACGACTGTACCGCCGCCTTACGCCAACTAAGTGATGCCAAGACTGAATGGCGTCTTGCCGCTGCCGTCGATGCGTGGACGTTGTTTACGCGCTTGACTGCGGCGCCAGCGAACCCGCAGTTGCGCTCTGCTGACCTCAGCGCCGCAGCGGGATTGTTTGCTGTGCTTGCGAGGAGCGGCGATATTATTGTGGCTGCCTTTTTGGAACTGCAAAGAGCATCGTCCTCGGCGACTCGTACACGCGCGCTTCATGAACTGTTGCGCCTGTTTCAAATCTCCGGCGGCACCGACATCTCGTGCTTCATCAGGACCGAAGACGCTGTTGTAGCGCCCCAGTTGCTCTCCAGTGAGCCGTCCGACAGCCCGGTCGAACTCGATGCCGAGAGGCGGTTTAGGCAACAGTACGCGGAGGTGCAGACTTGTATTGAATCACTTCTTGGAACTTCGTCACCAAATTGAAAATGCCAGCGGCGCTAGGCGCTTACGTGATCGTTGTGCGTGAATGCAGGCAAAGAAAGAAGACATTGTTTTATCCTTTGAAGGCTGCTGACGTTGTTATTATTATGGACTTGTTCATTCACAGATGCGTTGACGTGTAAACTCTCCAAGACACAATTAGAACATGATGAGGACCTTTGTTATGTCTTCTAACGTCGAGAATACCCCCAAAAGTGCTGTTCGCGGAACGTCGCAGTGTCTCTCTGTTTGACTTTTTTTTCCTCTACCTCGATAACAACCCTCTTCGCCGACTCCTCGCCCTTCAACGTTTTGGGAACACAATCCGTTACGGAAGAGAACTGTTCTTCTGTTCCACCTCGAACTGCCGAAGGATTGGCATATTTGTGCTTTGAAGAAGGCAATTTGTTTCACAGGATCGTGCTAGGTGCTCTGCGTATTACGCTGTAGTCAAGACACAAAGAGACCCCTCCCGACACGTGCACGTTGGTGCGCACTGGCAAACTACACCGCCTCTTTCTCCTCATCGGATCGTTTCGGGTCTGTCATGTCGGCTACACCAAATGGCACCACCGCCGGCGAGGAGGCCAGTGTTATGCGCCAACTGGAGTTGCTGCTGGTACCACTGCACCACCGTTTTCGCTATCCTCTCCCCATCCCCGCCCGCCTTGCAGACGGCGTTGACTGCGACGGCTCTCTCCGTGCGTCCGCGCCAACGTTTCTGACAAGCGCTGCTGCCACCGCTGGAATTGCGGCAGAGGATGTCGCAGCCGAAGCTGCGTCTTATTCTCTCGATGAGGCGGAGCTTCCTGAGGAGCAGCAGTACGACCGCGTGCGCCGCTCCGCGCTGGCGGTGGTGGAGGAGCAGGTGCCGGATCTTCTGTTGTGGCAGACGCGCGTGCAAGCCGGAGCGGCGCAGGCTGAAAACTGCTACCAAGTTCTCCAGCACGTCCGCCGCAACGTTGCCGCGATGCAGCAAGTGACGCAGTCGGTGCAGGAACAGAGCGACCACCTCAGCCACAACGCCTCCGCTATGATGGTGCGCAAGGCGAAGCTGGAGCTCGTGCGCGATGCACTAGAGCAGAACCTGGCGCACTTCACGCACATTGACGATCTCTGCCGAGAGGCGGGCAATCCGTTTCTCAAGGCGGGCACGCCGCGCTTCTCCACTCTGCTGCAGGACATCGCCAACGAGATGGAGTTCCTCTCGACCAACACGCAGTACAAGTCGGCTAAGCCGTACGCGATGCGCTTGGCCGCGGCGCAGCAAATGGTCAGCGCCACGTTGAAGGAGGCCGTGCGGCAGTCTTTCAAGACAATGGAGTCACAGACAAAGGCGTCGCCGGCGTTTGAGGCGGCCATTCATGTGCCGAAGGAAAGCACAGACGCCCTGAAGGACGCCGAAACAAACCCTGAGAGCTCTACTGCAGGTGTCGCCCTCGCTGCCTCGTCGTCACGACCAAGCGGAAACAGCAATCTTGTCGTGGCACCCGATCAGGGAGCGTTGCTGTCCGCGCAGTCCTCCTCTGCGCTGCTCGAGCTGCGTCGCCACGACGTGGCCGGCTCGTTTGCGGACTTTCTTACCGCCGTGAACGACGCCTTCGTAACGGCCGGCGACAACTACACCTCGCTGCGGCGCATGGCCGAGCTGCGGAAAGGCGGCTTCGGCTACTCAGGCGCCGAGGCGTTTGGCGAGGAGATGCTAACCACCAGCGGCGGCATCGACGCGGATAGCGGGATGAAGGAGGTGCTGGATGCCTACCGCGACGCCCGCGTCGGTGTGGTCGTGCCCCTGCTGCGATACTGGCTGACGCTGTGGTACTACCTGGACGTGCAGGACGCCCGCTCCGAGGCGCTGTCGACGGCAGAGGCAAACCAGGCACAGCAGCGGCTCGCGGAGGATGGTCGTCAGCAGCTGACGGGGGTAGCCGAAGCGCACACGCTGCCGCAGCTAGCCGAGCACATCTGCGGGCTGCTGCAGCGCTCGTTGGCCGCGGAGTCGGAGGTGCTGAGTCGACTGTGGCTGCGTGACGACATCGCGTCCTACCTGCTGCCCAAGCTCGTCACTAGCATCGCGGAGGAGGTGTACTATGCCTTCCGTTCCCGCCTGCTGTGCGTCGACGACGTTGGAGAGCTGGCGCGCACAGTGGACAGCATCCAACGCGTCAGTATGCGGCGCGACACGGGTGTGCAAGACTCGCAGGTCGTGGCGGATTTGTGGCTGCGCATGATTCAAGACACCCAGGAGCGGCTGGTGTTTCGCAGCAGCGTGTACCTGCGGCAGACCGTCGCGCGTTCCACCTCGACGCGCGAGATGGCCATTGTGTACCTGCGGTGCGGGTCAGACGCCTACAACACCGCGTCCGCCTCCGCAAGTTGCGATGCAACTGCCGCTGAGGAGGAGGCGAGGACGAAGATGTTCTTCATCCCTGGCGTTGTCCACGCGCTGCAGCTGCTGAACTGGCTCTACCCCACGCTGGAGTTCTCCGTCTTCTCGGTGTTTGCAGAGGAGGCGGTGCACCACAGCCTGGACTTGGTGCGTCAGCTTGTGAAGCTCATGCGGCAAACGGACAGCACTGATGCGCTGCGCGACACGAAGGCGTACCTTTGCCAGCTGTCGCACCTCCAGCACCTCGAAGCGGAGCTCTCGCACGTCGACGCCAACATCACGGTGGTGGAGCGGCACATCAGCTTCGCGAGTCTGCGCAAGAGCCGCCTCGAGTTGGCGCAGTCGTCGCGCGAGTCGAAGAAGGAGGTGCAGGTGGACCTTCTCAAGTGCAGCGAGCTCCTGACGACGGCGATGCTAGCCTACGTGACGCAGCCCATGTCTGGCGCGGCGAAGAGGACTGAGGCAGAGCGGCGGCAGCTGGTAGCAGAGATGAAGGGCCGCGCCAAGGGTGTTGAGCGGATGATATCCTTCTACGTCGAGCACGGCGAAACACGCGTGGATCTGGTGAACATCCTTCGCGAACGCACGGCGGAGCTGGCCGCTGAGGTGGACGTCCCCTTCGAGAGCGTACCGGCGGCCACCGTGCCTGTGAAAACGACAGCACCGCCGCCGCTACCGCCACCCCCATCAATAGAGAAGACGAATTCCTCCGCAGTGGCCCTTTCTCCTCTGGGATCTGCGCTCACGGCGGCAGCGGAAACCACGGAGTCCGCCGCAGATCTTGCGAACCCACCAGTATCAGAGTCCGCAGCGGCACCCGCAGCAGTGACGCCTAGCCCCTCTGCGCCTTCTTTGCCACCTCCGTCAACCAATCGTTACACTTCAGCGCCGTCGACGAGTGCCCCGCCATCGTCATCGGCCCCGGCTGCTACCGTAGCGTACGCACCACCCACGGCGCAGTCAGGATCTTTCCCACCCCTTCCTTACTCTGAACTGGCGCCATCTACGCGAGCATTGCCTCCTCCACCGCCCGCTTCTCGTGCTCCGGCAACGTCCACCGTTTCAGAAGTGCAGCCGCATTACGCACCGCGCCGTGGAGGACATACGGATGCGACTGATTTGATCTAAAGTACCGTCATGCTTTCGGCGGGAAGGACTACGATTGAAAAAAGGGAAAGGAAGACAAAAGCAGAACAACAAAAAATGGACTGATGGGCCCTCCAGTCAGGAAAAGGCAATCCTTTTTTTTTTAAATCCCTTTTATGCGCAAAGAGACCACATCCCTTAGAAAAGCCTGTACTGTTAAGCGCATGTAGTTCGCAACCAAAGCACGCAGGTTTACCCTTGCGTTTCTGTTCGCTCTGTGAAATGAAAAGGCGCGTCAGAACTCGGCGTTGTGGAGTAGACTTTTGCATTCTTTGATCTTTGTGTGCCTCGCTGCTCTCTGTCTCACTATCTCTCTCTCTCTCTCTCGTATAACACGTGATTTCTCTCAAACCATGTTTTGCACATACCGTCCCAACGCACAGCTCTTGGGTCTGAAGGGCGACGTGTTCCCCAAATCAAATATATAATAGAAAGACGACTCTGCAATTGTCAAGTGTCGCAGCCGTGTACTCGTTTTCTCTCTTTTGTTCTCTACACCAAAGCGTGTGTGTTTGTGTGTATGTTTGTGCGGTTTCATTAGCTGCCAACACATTGCAACGTAACGAGAGCCCACACCTCAGCACTTACGACCGTGAAACAAACAAACAAACAAAAAAACTGTTTACAGTGGGCGTTTCTTCTCACCAAACTGTATTGCACAGTGGAGGTAGCACTCTTTAATTGTTCTGTTTCTTTGTCTTCTTTCACAGCTTCGCTGTTTGTATGTATCTGTTTGGCAGCACTGTACAAATATATATTTGTTGTGTGAGGTTAGGAAAAGACACGAACACATAGACTGCCACATATTTTTTTGAAAAAGAAGATCTTTTCGTTTTCTCTGTTTTTGCATGAGTTCTCTGCTTACACGTGTGCTGTGGAAAAGCTGGGTTTGCCGTCTTCAGAGGAAAGGAAACCAAAGAAAGCGAAAAACCAATCAAGAATGAAGCAGCGCGGGGTGCAAGTGGCCTTCTGAATTGCGTTTTCGTTCTCAAGTCTGCTTCGTCTTTTTTTTTTCCCCCTCTGCTGCCTCGAATTTAACTTCCTTCCTTCTGCTGTGGTTTTGCTACCGTTTCGGGTTCGCAGAAGCGCCTGGTGGAGGTTTTTTGAAGAGCACGAGCGCAAGTTTTTTTTTCTCTTTTCTTTTTTTAAACCACTTTAAAGACAACAACAACAACTTACTTCTGTTGCGCTGTACGTTCTCTTTGGCTTTTTCCCTCCCCTTTTTGAAATTGCGGAATAAAGAAGACGTCGTTGATTTGCTGTTTTGTTTTTCCTTTTTCTGCTTTCCCTTAAACACATGAGTACACCCACACCCACATTCACATACACACATACCTTTTTCTTCTCTTGCGTGCTTGACTGCGCTGCAGTGACTTTTCTTTTTCTTCTGGCTGATTTAGTTTGCTGATTGAAGAAGTAGTTTTTCTCTTTTTTTTCGTGCTCTAACGTAAATAGCGATTTGCTTCGACGAGGCGCTTTCAACCCGCCATCAAACACACGGACAAAAGAGTAGCGTTGACTGTTGCTGCCCTCACAAGCAGCATGTTTGATTTCTGGGTGAATGTCTTCACAGGGCACCGTGCGAGTGATGACCGTACCACCTCCAGCAGCAGCGTTGCAGCCGCCGCCGCGGAGGTGTCTCCCGCTGCGCAACGAAAAGAGGAAGAGCAACGTCAGCGTCTTCTGGCCGAGCGCCGCCGGGCGTACTCGGAGTTTGTGAAGAGTGCCGCTCTAGGGAAGGTGCTTGCAGCGCGACTGCCTCGAGCGCACGACATTCTAGCGTACACCGGAGATGCCCCCTCCGCGTTCGAGAACAAATACGCCGACCAAGCGGCAGACGCAGTCCAGGACGAGGGTTCTTCGCCTGGCGGCAACCAACTTACGTCGTCGAACCGCGACGCAACGGAGGCAGCGGCGAACTCAACACTGGAGAGAGGATTGTACGCGGCGCTGACGCCTCTGTTGTCGCGTGGCACAACCGTTGTGACGGCGCGAGTTTTGGAGCTTGTCGGTCACCCAGAGGCATCTTCAGCGAAGGTAGGCATCCACGACGACAAGGCGGCTTTTGACGCGCAGAAGGAGTCCATCGCTGATTCAGTTGCCCAGGGCCGCCTGCCCTTTCTTTTTGTGTCACTGCTGCTTCGGCGCTGGCAGGTGTGCCTGCTAGCACTTACCGCAGACACTTCCAGTAATATGCTTTCTGCGCCAACGCTCAACACGCTGCGGACCTTTAGTTGTGTGTTGGCGTCGTTTGTCGCCCTCACGGAGGTGCACACGGAGGATGTGCGAGCGCACTTGGAGGATTTGCAGGTCCCTGCCACGCAGTGTATCGAGGAGTCGCTGCGATGTCTGCACTTTCTAAGTCATCCCTGCACCTCTTCCGCTTCCTACGCACCCAAAGACGCCACTGCAGCTGCTGCTGCTGCTGCGACGTCCGAGCAGCCCGACGCCGATGCCTCCACCGTGGTGCAAAACGGCACGACGTCACCTTTCTTCACGCAAGACAGCAGCGCGGCGACGGAAGCAGTGCAGGTGCAGGTGTGGCGTCTCCTTTCGCTGCTGTTGTACTGGCTGCACATGGTGCACGGTGCCCCTGTGGCACACCTCAACGTGGTGACCGTTTTCCTCTCGACCTCTGCGACTGCGCTAGGTTCGGAAAGTAGCCTCGCGTCGCGGATAGAGAAGAGCGACGACGACGGTGGCCCCACAACCGGTGCGAATGACACTGAGACACGTTCGTCGTGTTCTACGCTGGACGAGGTGCATCGCTGCACAGGGCTGAACAATGCGGCGTTGCTGTGCCAGACGTACGTTCTTCCTACCGGCGCTGCGTCGACTGCACCCGAGACGTGGCGGCTGTCTGCCTCGGCAGGAGACGGCGCACGGCCGTCACGTGCGGCCGCCAGCCCCAAATCCTCCTTCCCCCGCGCTCTCATGGCGTCTACAAAAGTGCGGGAGTTGCTGCTCTCGCTGCTGCTGACTGCGTCGAAAGGTGTTGTGTCAAACGTAGTGTACAGCTCCTTCGACTACGTGGGACTCTTCAAGCCGTTCTCCACTATTGAGGTGGATGACGACCTCGGGTTTGTGGTGGTGCAAGCGTGCCGACTGTTGAATTACGCATTTGTTTCGTGCACCGGCACCTCGTCTGCGGGAGCATCGCCCACGGCAGAGCAGGTGCGCGCCGCGGTGAGTCCGCTGTTGGGGGCTCTCAGCATACTCCTCGCCCGCTTCATTGCGGAGGAGAACGTTCAGGACGCCGGCACGGTGGCGGGCGACGCCGCGGGAAGCGAGTTGTACAGCGCAGACGCGGCACAACCTGTAGACCCAGCGGCAGCCCTTCTCGTCTCGGCAGCAACACCGCAATCGAAGAGCAGTGCAAACCGAGTCGCACGGCGTCGCGGTGCGCGCGACTTGCCAAGGGTTCAGTACCCGTGCCACGTTCGACTTCTCGGCCAGCTTGGGTGCGGCATTCTGCTGCTGACGACGCTCTTTCAGCAAAGCTCGCAGACGGTGCTGGACACCATGGATCACTCGTTCTTTTTCGATGCTCTCGTAACGGCGCTGCAGGCGGCGGGGAAGCGTTTTGCCGAGCCGTCGATGACCTCCTCCGCAGACGCGCCGGGTGGAGAGGAGCAGAATGAGGAAGCCGTACAGGCGTGGTCGAGCTGGATCCAGGCCGTAGATGTACTATCCAAAAAAGGAGCCGTGCCGTGCCGATACAATGATCTCGCGCATTTAGACACGTTGTTGAGTGCCGCACTGCTGCAGCCTGTTGACCTCCACCTGGCGGCGCTGTCGGACGACCCAATTGTCGACGAGTTTCTGCACGCCTATTTGGGCCTTCTGGCGGCGAGTCGTCGTCTGCGCGTGGACCTGATGCACACCCTCACCTCGCGCGGGGCGCTTCTCAACAACAACAGCCTGTCCTTGAACCAGGGTCTGCGGTTGGAAGTGCGATCGCTGGACACGTTGGATCAGCTGGAGCAGACGCTGGTGAAGACGTTTTTGACGGCCTACGACGCGGTGGACGCCATTCCTGACGTCGTATCAGACACCAACATGGACTCCGTGGTTTTTGCCGGAGGTGCAACGCGGTCTTGGAGCTGCACGAGAAAGGAAGAGGAAGAAGTGGTGAAGGAGAAGAAGCAGCAGATCGCCGAGGCGGCCAAGGCGTCACCGTTCCCCTCCACGTCGTGCCTGTACAACCTTTTGCTGAAGCACGCCCTGTGGTGCCTGCGCATGTCTCGCAAGTATCACCATGATTCGCAGCCGCAGGCGTTGTTGCTCCCTCCGCTTGCTAACGCGCTCTCCTCCGCCACGGTGGCAGGAACGTGGAAGCATTCCATTTTAACCAATCCGGTCCCTACGCCTTCCGTCGTTTCCCCGCCGCCGCTGCTGACGCCACCGCTCGCGCCGTCACGCCCCTTTACCTCTCCTGCGTATCCGGCCGCCGTCGACCTTGCGGGGCAGGGCGACGACCCCTTTCTTTTGTTTCTCGTTCACCATGGCCTCTTTCGAATTCTTTTGCACGATGATCACTACACCTCTGCCTTCATGGTCAACCTGCCGCGACGAAACGCACACCGAGAGGCGGCGAAAGATGGCGTTGACAAGACGGAACCACAAGCACCGTTGGCGCACGAGGAGTCTCCGACGTGGCAGCGTTCCTTTGCGACCCTTCTCTTAGTTGCGCATTGCTTGCAGCTGCATCCGTCCACCGCGGCGGAAACAAGCGCAGCGCTTTCATCTCCAGAGATGTGCGACCCCTCGAGCAACATCACCCCGTCCGCTTTGTATCCGACGTCCCCAGTAGCGGTGGCGCAGGGTGGCGCGGCTGGGCGCCTGACGCCCGGCGAGGAGCTGCTGGCGTACGAAGCGGTGGAGGCTCTGATGATGGTGTTGCGCCCATCCTCTTCCGCGTTTTCGTCTTCGCCACCACCGCCACCCGTGGGCGGACCGAGCGGCGCTGCTGCTGGTGCGGCTCATGCGGTCCAACGCACGGCAGTGGCAACGACGAAGCCCCGCTACGGTGCGCCGTGGCGCAACTGCCTTCTGGCGCTGTTGACCGCTGCGCTGGGCTCACCATCGGAACCAAACAAGCCCAACCGTGACCCAATCGGCGGTCACGTTTCACAGGAGGACGCAGTGGACACGCCGTTGACATCGGTGGCTGCGCCTGTCGTGAGCGAGGAGCTCGTGCGCTGTGGTAGCATCGAGTACCTCCTGCAGGCTTCCATCACTTCCGCCGCCGCCGCCTCCACACCGCTCGCCCAAGACGTTTCGTTCCGGTGGACGATGTGTGTTTTACAGTGCCTCGTCGCCGACCCAAAGGCGCGTGTGCACATGGCGGCCATGTGTGCGAAGCCGCTGCTGCTGGGTGCTCTGTGGAATCCGCTGCTGCGCCGCGGTGGGCAAGAGCTCTTGACGTCGCTGCTGTGCCAGCCCCTCGCCACCTCTTATTCCACTGCGGATGTGCCCTTGATCGATCCTCGCGAGGCATCCACCATGACGTTTGGGACCGCCAACGACGTAAGTGTGAGCAGCAGCACCGCCACCGCCGCCTCGGACGCGGGCACACTAGCTGCGGTGGTGGCGCACACCGTACCGCGACACTGCCGGAAACTGTGCGAGTCCTTGTGGTCAGTGCTGAACGAGTGCGTGAACGGCCCTTTGCCGGTGAGCAACGCCAGTGCCGAAGCGTACGGTGGGGTGATGGCGGAGTGTGCGTTTCCTTCCGCGTCCACCGCCAGCGATGAGGAGCGCGACAGTGTGCTGCAATGCGTTCTCTCGTCTTTGGCGGATGCGTTTCACATACTCGGCAACGACAACGGGCACAGTCTCGGCAGCGCAGAGGAGCTGCTGCCGCTGCGCACACTGCAGAGAGGCATCTTCGAGGCGAGCAGAGAGGGCACCATGCACCTCTACGCCCTGCTGCTGCACCGTCTCGCCCAGCTGTGGCGGTCGAACACGTCGTCGCCGACGAGCTCATCGTTGCCCACCTCATTTTCCCTCCCGCCAGCGGACGCAACCGGCGCCGTGTGCATGTTGTTCTCCGCGGACGAGCCGCTGCTCCCGGCCAAAGCTGGCTCGTCGCCTCCGACCACGACGACTGCTGTGCCGTTCACCACCAGCCGTGCCTCCCGCGAGAGTGTCGTTTTAATCGTAAAGGTGCTGATGGGACTCACCAGGGCGAACCCGACGCTGCGCGAGGTGCTGTACCGCAATACCATGGACGAGGAAGCGCTCGTGGACTGCGTTGCGAACGCGTGGACGGCGACGGCGCACCGCGCGGCGTGCAGCTCGTCAAGACGCAGCAACGGCTCGACCAGGAGCGACGACGCGACATCAGATGAGTGCGAGTTGGTCCGTCTCTGTTCTTACTTGGTCTACGAGTCCATCGAAGCCGTGGATGCGTTTGTGGACGTCAAAAGTCCCAGCGCAGTTGACAACATTCTTCGTCCGCAGCAACAGCATCAGCAACAAACGACACATCGTATGCATCGCTGTGTCTGGTCTCTACAGAACCCGTCATTGCTGGCGGCCTTGCTGAAGCGCTTCCCACGCACGTCGCTGACGGCTGCCCAGCAGTGCGCTCTCCGCCAAATTTTGCGCACCTTGACCTCCACGGTGGCGTCGTGCCAGACGAGTCTCTACCTCGCTGCCAGCACGAGTCTGCACGAGGTGCTAGGCCAGCTGCTGCCTGTCGTGGCCCTGTTGCCCCCAAATCCGAGCCGCGCACGGTCGGATCACTCTACTTCCCCCTCCGTCTCCGCCACGTACGCCGCGGCTGCCACCACATCCTCGTCCCGGTTAGATGCAATGCTGGTACACTTGCTCGTCATGTTGGCACGGTGCCACATCGACGTTCGACAACTGAAGCAAGTTCTGATGCTTGTCATTCACTCGAAGGAGTTGCGTGAGCGGAAGGCGCTGGTGCCCTTGGTCGTGCAACTGCTGAGCGCGGCTGTCCAGCCAGTGCCGCACGCGCCGCTACGTGAGGGGCTCCATCGCCCCCCGCAGCACTTTATGACTCTCCATCGTGGCTGCGGTCCCGCAGGCTTTCGCGCTGCCTTGCCAGAGTTCCCGCTGGAGGGCTACTCGGTCTCCCTGTTCCTGCGCTGGGAAGGCGAACTCGGCACGGTGGCGGAGGGGGAGGCGGGAGACACGACGGGCATCCCCGTCGCCCCCGGTCTCGACACCTTAGTGCCACCGGTCAGCGAGGCCACACACAGTAGCACCGACGGCTGCGCCTGCATCTTTTCACTGCGCACGGCGGACCGCATTACCGTGCTCGCGCTCATGGTGGAAACGTACACGCGTCGGCTCTTTGTGCAGTACCGCAACCTGCAGCAGCAGGAAGTGCGCGTTGATGTCACGACGGTGCTGCCGTCGCGTGCCTGGTCGCAAGTAGTTTTCTCTCATCGTCCTGCTGCCTTCTTGTCTACGGCGGCCGGTGGCCAGATGCACATCGCCGTGAACGACAAGAGCGCCGTCACGGTGCCGCAGGTCGCCTACCCGCTCATGTCCCGGGGACACCTCTACGTTGGCTGCTTGGGACACGAGGTGGATCGACTCTGCGTGGCGCACGCCTTCTACGGGCAGGTGTCCACCGTGTACTTTTTCCCTTTTGTGCTGCAGGAGCGGGAGCGGGAAATACTGCAGGGCGTCGCGCGGGGGGCGGGGGGTGGGACGTGGATGGCGACGTCGGCGGCTACGTCTACCCCACCGCTGCGTCCCACGGCAACTACGGCGACTGGCAGCCGGTGGCCCGGTGCAGGGGCACTTGGCGGGGGTGGTGCTGGCGCAGAGGCACGGACGGAGCAGTGGCTCGTGGACCGGGCTACGCTGCGCGTCGACACGCGTCTGAGCGACCGCGGACACCTGTACAACCTCGCCGCCGTCCTGCGTGGTCGGGCGGGGCGTGACAGCCGCCTCTTCACCTATGAAGGCACACTCGTCTGCAGCACGCAGCGAGTGATGGACTCGATGGGGCTGCTCGGTGCGCTGCCCAGTGTGGTGATGCCTCTCTGCACGCTGTTGGTGAATCCGACGTTGCCCATCTCCTTCCGCGGGCTTGTTGCCGTCGCGCAGAACAGCCGCGAGCCCCTCGCGCTGCCGTCGTGGGCGATGGTGCCGTCGGTGCACACCGGCGATGCCTACGACCCGAGCACGGTGGACGCCGCCAACGCGGCGATACTGTGGGCGCTGGAGCTGATCCCGGCATTGGCGTCAAGTGAGGCGATCCGCAACGAAATGGGCGACTCTGGCCTCTTTGTCTTTCTCGGGCAGATTTTGCAACTGCTCGGCTCCTCTTTGCAGGTGGTTGTCCCGCCGGCTTTAATACAGCTGCTGGAGGTGCTGGCCCCGTTTCCGCGGTTATTTGAGGACGCCTTGACGAATTTGTTTCTCTCCTCCGAGGTGATGCATTCCGCTCCGCGTGCGGTGCAGCTGGCGTGGGTGCGTGTGCAGCGTTTCTTTCTGCAGGCACACCCCGATGCCCTGTCGTGTTTACGGTCGCTGGGCACGTCCATGTTTGTCGCGGCGGAGGTGCTGCGCATGACGTCCGAGGAGGACAGCGTCGGGGCGGCAAAGCCAAACGCAACAACGGTAGCACAGCCGTCATCGTTGCCGACAACCGAGGCGTCGTGCACGCTGCGTGATCTCGAAGATCAGTGGATGTCGTACTTTGAGGCGCTCACAGCGCCGCCCGTCACAATCAGTGAGGCGCAGTCGCTGCAGTACCTCGTCGAAAACCTCCGCTGGTCTTGCTCGAGCGAATCGGTTCAGCTGCGCATCTTACGTCGCGTGCGCCACCTCGTTGCCTCGTCTACCTCGCCGTTCTTTGTACAGCTGCTCGGACGGAGGAACTACGCCGTCACGCTTCTTCCGTACATCAAAGACGCCCCCAGCGAGGCGGTGCGGATGGAGGCTCTTTTGCAGTTTTTATGCATGGTGTTTCGCTCGAAGCGCACGCAGGAGCTGATGAATCCGGTGCTGCTGGCCAGCCGGGAAACCGTGGTGCACGTCGCGGAGGAGGTGTCGCTGGCGTGGTTGAGCGATGTACTGCGGCCCTTTCCTGTCAACTTGTCGGTGTATTTGGCGTTGCGTTGCGGTTTGGTGGGTCAGTTCGACGTAGCGGAGCTGCCGACGTCGTACGCGCCGCTGGATGAGTCGCAGACGCTCAAGCTCGCCGCGGTGCTCTTGCCGCTGCTTATGCTGTTAAAGCGAAGCCCAGACGCGAAGTTGAAGGCATTCGTCTTGACAGACCTGGCCGTGCTGCTGAAGAGCGATGCACAGGCGTGGCGGCGGGTGATTACCGTGCGAGGGTGGTACGTGTCGCTTGCCAGCTTGTTTGTGTCGTCCTGCGGTACCTCTCCTACGGCGGCAGCGGCAGCTGCAGCAACGGTGACGTCACCTGCGGCCTTGTCTCCAGATAAAGCGGGTGCTTCGACCGCAAGTTACGCACCGGAGATCTGCAATGACGTTCCTGCGCCGCTGCGGAGTTCCGGTCTACTGTTCACGACGACGTCCATGATCCTGTCGCACACACTCTTCCAAGCATTGCTGCATGAGTCGTACGGCGCCACCGAGGTTGCCTTGGTAGCCGCGTATTTGCGGGAACAGCGACTGCACCGGTTACTGAATCAAGTTTTCTGCAACATCGCCGATCGCTACCGTAGCCGCCTGCTGGCTCAGCAGAACGATCGCAGGAAGTTGAGTACTGTTCCCAGCGGCAGCAGCGTCGGCGGTCTGGAGGAAGCAGGCGAGGCGTCCACTGCGCTCTCTGCGCGTGTCGTAGGCGGCGATGGCCGCGTCAATCCACCGACCGCGACGGCCACTGCGGCGTCTTTCATCGGACTTGGCACCCCCATCGCCCTCTTGAACATGTGTTACTTCTTTCGCGTGGTGGAGGTGGTCCTCTTCTACGCCGCGACGTTCCTCAAACGCGAGACGCCCGCCGCCACACCGACGCCCTCCCCCAGCGCGACTGCATCATCAGGTGCCGTGACAACGCAGTCATCGTCTTCGTCATTTCTGTTGACGCTGTCCTTGGGAAGCAGCTACACGGAGTGGGAGGAACTCACGCTACTCCCAGCGGAGGCGATGGGCCCAGCGGAGGGCCACGGCGGTGTTCTAGACGCACCTACAGCAAAGGCGACACGTGCAGATGGCGACGTCTACTGCGCCGGCGACGACGACGACCCGCAAGGGAACGTGCGACGGGCCATTCTCTTCCATCCCGACGGACGCTGGCTGCATCTCCCGCTGGCGATGAAATGTGCGGAGTTGCTCTGCAGTCACAGTGCGCTACTCCACCTTGGCAGCAACGGCAACGCGACGAGCATCAACGTCGTCGGCGGCGGTTCGGTGGTGGGCGCCGTGACCAGCACGGGCGGCCCTGGGGACGCGCTGCTGGCCGCCGTGATGAGTGCCGCCTCGGGCAACAGCGGCGTGATGGGCAATGCCAACCTCGGCCAGGTTGGTCCAGCCGTGGTGAAGGGTGGCATGCTGCGGCTGTTTGGCCGTCTCTTCCAGATGATATGCCGCATGACGCTGCGCTCTGCCACCGCGCTGGACAGCATCATCAACCTCGTAGACGGCTTTATTCAGCACGTCGATCGGGGGCAGCGAGGCGGCGGGTTCCTGCTTCTGAAACGGTCCGTAAACGCGGATGAGGCGCATGAGCACTCGCCGATTGCGGTGAGCATGACGATTCTGTACAACATTCATGAGCTGCTTCTGCGTCGTCTGCGTGCCGGGGAGTGCGGCGGCAGCGCCACTTACCCCAACGCGAACGCCGCTCTCGTGGACCGTATGAAGTCCGTCGTGGAGATTTTCCGCCACTCCTTCGAGCAGCTGCCGGTGTTTGTCGCAGCGAGCGCGTCGGAAGCGGCGAGCCAGGCTGCCTCGCAGATCTCTTCCCCCCGCCACCGCAGTGAGTTGGGTGGAGCGGCCGGAGGGGGAGGAAAGGGTCCGTCGTCGCTTCGCAACATGACCGGCGAGGTCTACACGACCGGCGTGCCGACGCTGCAGTGGCTGTGCGACCACCAAGCCAATCCGTGCCGCACGGTGGAGGCGTTTGTCGAGGTGGCCTCACGGGCCGACTACAACGCCTTTCTGGAGCGCTGCCTGATCGCGGTGGAGCGGGAGCAGTTGACAGACAAGGCCCTTGCGAACGATGTGATTCCGGAGCAGCGTTGGATGCTGCGTCGCTTGCAGGACCTTTTCTGCGAGAACAGCCTCTCCAAACGTCTTGTGCACGACAGTATGGAGGCCGTCATGGAGTCGTCGAGGTGTGCGCGGAAGGACAACGGAGACGGAGAGCGCACCAAGGACGGCGGAAACGGTGGCTTGTCCGCAGCGGACGACTCCGCCGACACCTCGTTCACCAGCTTCTTTCTCCCCTCGGCCGCCCGGAAGGTGACGGCGGCGGCGCGGGCGGCCATGTGGGCCCACTTCACCACAGCCCTGCGAGGCACGGTGTGGAACTTGGAAGCAGCCGGCCCTCAGCAGCAGCAGCAACAGAGTTCCGCAGCCACGACAAAGTATGTGAAGCTGTCCTCGCAGGAGCAGCAGCCCTTGGTGCACCGGAAGCTGGTCTTTGACCGGGAAGGCACCAACTACAGTGGGGTGTCGATGGCGTCCTACTCGTCACCGCCGTCGCCAGCGAGCGAAAACGTGTCCACGAGCCACCCGGTGAGTCTTGGTACAGACGGCGTCCTACTCGTCGGCGACGTGGCGATGAAGACTGACACCAGCTTCAGCGACAACGGCAGTATGAGTCACGTGTCGCGGTTGCGGCGGCGGGGCGGTGAGGCGGTGCTGCTGCAGGTGCCCGAGGACGAAGATGCCGCGGCGGAGGAGGATTTGCTGCGGCTGAGTGCAGAGGAGGAGATGCGGTCCTTGACGGCGGCCTCGCTGAACGACTTCCCCAACCGCGACACCACAGGGCTGGATCAGCTGCGCCGGAGCCCGTCCTCCGCCACTGCGCCGCACAACTTGTCCGTCCAGTCTGTGCTTTCGGTGGCCTGCGAGGTGCCCTACATGATGCACTGCTGGAGCGCCAGCTTCACCGTTCGCGGCTCTGAGGTTTTCGTGGTCATCGATGACGAGAATCACGCGTACAACCAGGTGGTCAGCGAGGGCGCCAGTCCCTACCTTCTACGGCCGCGCACCTTCAGTTTTCACTTGAGCAACGTAACCCAAATCGCGCCAGGTCGGCGCTTCCGGATGCGACGCACCGCACTGGAGGTGTGGACCCGCGACCGGCGTAGCTACTTTATCAACTTCGCCGACACGGCCACGATGAACGCGGCGTTGCAGGCCCTGCGCACCGGCGGTGCTCCGCGGTACCCCTTCACGACGTCGTCGTTGCTGCACAACACGACCGGCGCGGTAGTGACGACACTGCCGTCGCTGATCCACCACGCCGCTGGCGGGGGCAGTCGAGGCACGGCCTACGTGCTGCAGGAGAACCCGCGTCGTGAACCGATGCGGCTGCGCGCGATGGCGCTGTGGCGCAACCGCCTGCTCTCCAACTTCGACTACCTCCTCGTGCTGAACGTGCTGGCTGGTCGCACGTTGAACGATATAACGCAGTACCCCGTCTTCCCCTGGATCTTGTCGGACTACACGAGCAACGAGTTAGACATGGCAAACCCGGCGACGTTCCGTGACCTGTCGCTGCCGATGGGTGCGTGCGGCAGCGAGGACCGGCGGGCGATGGTGCGCGAGCGCTACACGGAGATGAAGGACCTCGGCGATGTGCCGTCTCATTACTTTTCTCACTACAGCTCCCCCGCCGTCACGCTGTACTTTCTCATTCGCCTGCCGCCCTACACGACGCTCTCCATCCTTTTGCAGGGCGGCCACTTCGACCATGCGGACCGCATGTTCCACTCCGTGCAGTCAAGTTTCAAGGCGGTGACCACGAGCACGCAAGACGTGCGGGAGTTGATTCCCGAGCTGTTCTACCTCCCCGAGCTCTGCGTCAACGCCAACAGGGTCGATTTTGGACGCCGGCAGAACCGAACATCGATGGACGATCTACAGCTTCCACCTTGGGCCCACAACGACCCTTACACGTTCATCTACCACATGCGCGAAGCCCTCGAGAGTCCGTATGTGTCTGCCCATCTGCACGAGTGGATCAATCTCATTTTCGGCTACAAGCAGCGCGGCAAGGAGGCCATCGACGCGCTGAACGTCTTCAACTGGCACTCCTACGAGGAGCTCGATGGAAACCGCGACGCGGGCAGCGTCGACCACCAACTGCTCATCGACTCCCTCGACAACATTGGCCAGACACCGATTCAGCTCTTTCGTCAGCCGCACCTGCCGCGTCCCGCGCTGGAGTGGGCCGACCCGCTGCTGCTGCCCACACACGTGAAAGTCCTGCCGCTGCGTTGGGGCTGCCTGCGGGTGGCGCAGGTGGTTGTGCTGGCCACGGACAAGGTGCTCGTCGTCACCGGCAACGGTGGGGCGGCGTCGCTTCGGATGCACCTCAACCTCATTCGTTCGTCGGCCGTGCCGCTCGCCCCGTCGTCGACCGCAAGCGCGCTCGGCGGCACCGCAACCGCAGCAGGACCGACCGCCACGCCAGGAAACGCGCGGGGCAGCGGGTCGCCCGAGATGCATAGTGCGATTTCGCCGTCGCCGGAGCGGGCGGTGCCGACTTCGCACGGCGTCGTTCGTGGGGCAAACACTGGGCCGTTCTCCGCACCGGGCGCAGCTGCGCTGTTGAGCGTCGGCCGCGCTCCCCTCGGCGGCACCGACACCGGAAGCTTCGACGTAAGCGAAGAGTACGAGCGCCGTATCGCGCCGATACCGGCCGGCGTGATCCCGAACAACTCCCCGTACGCCGACGGCTCCTCCACCGCCTCCAGTGTCGCGCTGCTGTGCTACGAAAACGAAGTCTTCTTGGTGCTGGGCGGACTCTTTGACAACTCCGTGGTGATCCGCTCCCTCTCCGGCGCAGCCGGCGACGTGCGCCTGCGCGCGCACCACGGCCGCGTGACGCTTGTGGTGCGCACGGGCGACAGTCGCTACCTCGTGACGGGTGCGGAGGACACCACCTTCGCCGTCTGGTCCTGCCAGCTCCAGCCCGTTCGCCAGCAGCTGGAGGTGGAGCTGCTCTTCACCATCTACGGCCACGAGGACATGCCATCTGCCGTCGACGTAAGCAGCACGCTCGACGTCGTGGCGACGGCGTCGCTGGACGGCGTGTTGATGCTGCACTCGCTGAGCACCGGCCGTCTCGATCGAATCATTCGGCACCCGCACAACGCACCCATACACCGTGTGTTGGTGCAGACCAACTGCTACGTGCCGAACGTGATCTTCTTATCCAAACAAGATGTGTGTGTCTATCAGTACAGCATTAACGGCGCTCCGCTGCGCACCTTTACGCCGCCTGGCCGGGTGACGGCGTGGTCTGTCACGTCGAGCCAGTACTTCCTGCTGGCCTGCCAGCCCCACCCCCACGTGCACAGCACTAACGCTTCTCCCACGAGCAGCGTCCCACGCAACTCCAACGACAAGGGCGAGACAACCGCGGCGACGCCTCAACCGCAGCACAGTGCGGTAGCTGCACCGTGCATCTTGTACGTACACTCTTTTTTCCTGGAGGTCGTTAAGACGGTGGCCGTGCCTGCGGACCATGTGGTGTCCAGTCTCTCGACTCACCCTTCCTATCCGCAGGTCGTCGTTGCCGGCACGGAGACGGGCCGACTGCTCTTGCTGCGTTCTGTCACTAAATAGTGCACTTTTCGGTGTAGACACTCTGTTCGTTTTTCCCCTTCTCTTTTGTGAGTAGGTGCGTTGATCTCGTTTCTTCCCTGGTCAGGTTGCTTTGGTTTCATCAGGCATCGCGTTTCCGAACACGCGTACTCATGCAAATGGAATTCAAGACGTTCGATGGACAACTTTTTTGTTGTTTTCATTATTCCTCTCCTGCCTCTGTTGCTCTTGCTTTCATGCAGCTGCTTGTGCTGATGAGTTGAAAAAAAGACACTCCGATAAAAGCTCGCATTGAAACGGTGCGTTTCTCATCCATGCTTCGAAGGGAGGAGAAAAAGCCTTGCCATTATGCAACGTCTTCGTACACGAACAAAGGTGCTCCTTTGTATTCCAGTGCCAGCGTAACGCGTATGAATTCGCTCCGCAACGCATTCCTTCCTGATTTTGCTCTGGCCCTGTTTTTTATTGCCATCTTCTTCTGCTTGCCTTCCCTCGTCGCCGACACTCTTACTCGCTTTTTGTTTTCTGCACAGCTGCAACACAAGCGCCCACGCACATCTCAATATATTCCGAAGCAATGCAACGCTATTCTTCGTCGACGGAGTCGCTGGACTCGTCGCAGCTGGTGGAGCGCAGCCGCCAAAGGAGAGCCTCAGGGTCGCCTCACCGGTCAACTGATGAGGAAGACAGTCAACTAGAAAACGACCGAAGTGGGAGCGGCGGCGCAGGGAGTCCGGAATACTCCGCACGCGGTCATCTGTACGATCTCCATCAACGCGTACCCTCAAAGTCGAACAGCAGCGGCTCCACGCCTTTATGGCGGAAGGTGCTGTACGAGAGGCAGCCCTTCGAGGACAACTACGTCGACCCGCACCAGTTTCTCGAGGAGCTGAGCCAGAACAAAGACATCAAGGACTATCAGTACTCCAACGTGGTGATCAACACGCTCGCCATCACGCAGGAGATCTCCGTCGTGGTGCTGTTCTGCCACGCCTTCATGGGCGTCTTTACTGGCTCGATTGGCAAGTACACCCTCGTCGGCATCGACGTGCTGTGTCTGGTGGCTGCTCTGATTTGTTACGTCATTTACCAGTGCCACCAGGACGCCCAAGGGGATCTGGATGAGCGACCAGCGAGCCCGAGCACGCGTGGGCCGCCACCGCCACCGCAGCCGTCGCGGTGGCTGCTGCACTCCTGGGTCTTTGGCCGACAGGTTCTGAGCCTGGTCACCATGCTGTCCCTGCTCAGCCCCATATTGAGCACCCTCACCGTCACCTACAGTGACGACACCATTGTGGCGCTGTCCGTGCTGACCATGTCGCTGCATGTGCTGCTCACAGACTACAGCTACCTGAATGCGTACACACAGCGCTTTGACCCGAATGTGTCAGTGAACATGGCCATCTGCTGTGTGACGCTAATGGCGTCGCGCATTTCAAGTCCGCTGGCAAGTGGCGCGCTGATCTGCTTCGGCATTGTGTGCTTCTCTCTGTCTCCCATTGTCCGCCACCTCATCAAGCAAAACTCCTTCACTGTACACGTCGCCATCACCTTTGGTCTCGTCGGACTGGCTGTTGGCTGCCTCACGCCGATCCCGATCCTTGCAACCATCTTCATGGTAACTGTTTTGATGATCACCTTTGGCATTCCGTGGCTCTTTGTGCGGATGCACAGCAGCGTCAAGACGCAAATCAACGGTCCGTGGGATGAGGCGAAGCCGACGAACAGCGCCGCGGCTGCGGAATGGGCCAACTCTGGATTTCTGGCGTGAGTGGAACGGCGAAGAATTGACCTTTTCTGCTGCCTTTCCCCTCTTCTCACCGTTTGGGAGCATGGAGCTGCTTTTATATCCTTGTGTGCATGCGCAGTGTTCTTCCTCACACAAACACAAAGAAAAGACACTTGCGATTTGACGCGGTGCGTGCTTCACTGAAGGCGCGGGAGCACACGTGCGTGATTTTTGACTTCTAACCTCCTTTCATGTTTCATGTTGCCGCTACATCGATTCTGTTTATATTTTGCTTCACGCTTGATTTCGTGGCCACTACATGTTGCCTTCATCGACACAACCATCTTCACCGAAAAGGAGCTTGTTTGAAAGCCCATATGTAATCAAGATAGGACAGAGTCCTCTCTTTTAGTGCAACCGCTGAAATTTGTTTCAATAATTGGTGCTGAGCAGGCGTCAAACAAACGCCAAGTGCTTGTTCTCAGGGATCAGCTTACGTCCCACAAATGTACCGCATCTTTGAATCCTTAGCCAATCTCTGCTATTTCATCTGCCGCTCTCTCCCTCTCTCTCCCCCTTTTCGCTGATTCCTCTCTGTTGCACTAACGCCGCAGTCAGTTTTTTTTTTCCTTTGTCTAGTACGAACTCTTGTACTTGTGGCTCAGTTTCGCTGCAGCATAGCATTTTATTATTATTATTATTCATCGCGGTTGAGCTCCTCTGTCGGGTGGTGCACCTCAACTTCAATCTGTGTTGGTTTTCTCGCTATTTGCTTGCCATAGCAGCTTTTTTCTCTGATTTTGTTGTCCTCAAATAGTTTTTTTTTAACCCTTTCTGGCACGCTGTTCTTTGGTTTGCATTTTCGTATTTATTTCTCCTTCTCCCTCTTGTGCCGCCTCAGCATCGCCGTTAGTATCGCTTCTCTTCGGCGGACGTTGCGACAACGGAGCAGGACAAGAAAAGCAACGCATCATTGCGTTTGGAGGCAAAATTAATTAACACACACACACATATATTTCTCCTCGGTTATAACTTCATTTTTCTTCCAAAAAAAAAGACAAACCATTCTGAATACGTCAAATCTCAAATAGCAGCCGAAGAACAAACAGCCATGTCATCGCATGGCGATTTAACATTCCACGCACCTGCGGCGGCCCTCGTAGGGGTGGACGCTGTGGGAGCCACAAGCAATGGCATGTTCTCACGTCTGCACCTCGTCGGCAACCCCGATTGGATGTCCTCCTTCTCCACCAGTCAGCAGGTGGCGGCGGTGCGACCTGTGCTGGCACCTCCAGTACCCGTGGCGTCGGCCCCTCGGCCACTCGCCGCCCCGGCCGCCATTGACGCCCCGGCCCCGGCGGCGAAGGGTTTCTTCAGCATGTTTTACCGCGCCCCGACGACGACGTCGACGACGACACACACCGCTGCCGCGACGCCGTCCTCGGTGGTAGGGGGGTCGAGTGTGAGCCGCAGCAACGGCGCCGCCTCGACCCACCTGCCCGCCCCGCCCAAGTCGCTGGACTCCAACGACTCGCCCCCGCTGCGTGCGATGCCCGTCGACGCGCAGCTCTCGCTCGAGCACTTCTCTAAGTCTGGCGTGGCCGAGGTCTCCCTGCCGGCCGCCCGCCGCGAGCCGCCGCGTCCGCTAGCGCTGGGCAGCGACACCTGGAACGCACTCAGCGCCGTCCCACTGCCTCCAAAGACCTCCGCGACGGGAAAGCGCGTTCTCTCCCCGCCTGTTGCGATCGACGGCATGGCGGGCCGCGCCCCGAAACCGCTCTGGAGCGACCTCTCCTTCACCTCGTGCTTCCGCAGCAGCGCCCCCACGCTGGACGCCTTCCGCAACGTCGCGCCAGCCGCGGCGCCCGTCAAGACCAACTCGGTGGGAAGTGCGGCGGCACAACCGGCGTTGATGAGCTCCGCGATGCCCGTGCCTCCGAAGCCCGTGACGACGAGTCCGCTACGCGGCACAGCGAGCAGTCTTGAGGCTGCTGCTGCTACTGTTGCTGCGACCACTACAACGACGACCTTCAGGACGCAGCGCGGCGAACTGAAGGCGCACCCGCTTGTCCCAGTCGGCGAAGACGCCCTCCCGGTGTCGCCACTGCTCACGCCGGTGCAGGAGGCCGCCGTGCAGTCCGTGGCGAGGGTGGAGGCGACGCCGCTAGCCACTCCGGCCCCGGCGCCTGCCAGCAGCGAGGTGGCTGCGGAGGCGGAAGCGACGCTGCACCGTGACGTCGACGTCGCGTCGGTGCTGACAGATTTTGTGAAGTCGATCACGGAGCCCGCGACTCAACAAGAGGAGAAGGAGGAAGCCCTCGCCGCCGCCAACGTGCGCAACTTCCTTAGCACCATCTTCAGCCACGAGGATGACACAGACACGTCGCCTGTGACTAAGGCGGACGCCTTCAACGCGCTAGAGCTCGTCATTAACCGCGGTAGCACGCAGCCCAAGCCAACGCAGCCGCTCGCGTACAGCACCTTCGCAAGCAGCCCGCTCTTCATGGACAACAACGACGAGGATAGCGAAGAGGGTCTAGAGAGACTGCGCCGCGTCGTGTCGATCGTCATGCAGGCGGCCAAGACGCACGACGGCGGCAGCTCGCAGCCGTCGAGCCAGACCCAGCGCCGCAACGGAGGCGGTGTGCCGGCGTCGCCGCCCACGGGCAAATACACGGAGTTCTCTGCCACGTACCACGCGGGGTGCAGCACGGGGAACGAGAACGAATGGATGCAGTACGCTCGCTTCTAAAACCGCAAGGTGCGCAACACTGAAGCAGAGTACACACAAAGAACGAGCAACAGTAAGACAAGAACGTTGTGCAGTCAAACAGCGACTAGTTGCGCGTGTCTTTTCTTCATCCGTTGTGCTGTGTGCCGGTGCACGTGCCGCTTGCCAGAGAAGCGCTCTCTTCTTCTTACTTTTGTTTCACAGCGTTGGCGCAGGGGAGCAACGCACTGCGGACCCTGTAGATTGACCTCTGCGTCCTTAGAATGCAGGAGGAGGGGAAAGGACGCACCTTCCATCCTTTGCCTCCGAGAGTCCGAGCTTCAAAACAGAAGACACTGCGTAAGCTCCGTGCGGACACGTGCACTTTCTCAATTGAGGAAACCTCTTTTTTTTTGCTGTTCTTACTGTGTGTAAAGTGTTGCCACTGGGAGCATCCAGCACACAAGTTGAATCGGAGCATCTTCCCGGTCAACTTCTCCCTCTCCTTTTTTCTTTTTTCTTTTATTTTCTCTTGTCTCCCTCGCCTGATAACGGTGCTTTCTTTTCTTTGCTGTTTCCGTCTTGCTCCAGTGTTTTCTATTCCCCTTTCTTCAACTTCTCTGTCTTCAGAGTCTCAACTTTTTCCTTTACCTCAGTGGTTGTGCTTTTGTTTGTTTGTCAATTTGTTTGCTCGTTTTGCGTTCTTTGCTCTTTCCTTATTTCTTACTATGTCGCGTTGTGTGAGCTGCGACGCCGCACTTTCCCGTATTTAAAGGAGGTGAGTGTTTCTTCTCTTTGTTTTCTGTGTGTTGTTGATACGTTGTTGTTCTTTGCTGATGTTTGTTTTCTTTAACTTGAACTAGAAGCATCGAGTTCTCCGAGAGAGTTGGCTATCTGGTTCAGCTTTTCTTTTTCTACGTTGGTGAGCCTCAGTATTGTTGTTGTTTATTATTCTCTGTAGTTCGACGCGTTTATATCTCCTTAAGCGATAGCAAATTGATACCCTCATTGCACTGGAGAAGCTGCGACGGGCGAGAAAGCGAGTGTTTAACACACCCCGTTGTTCCCGCAGAAGCGCATGGGTGTAGTAGTGATCGGCACAATAGGCCAAACAAACAAAAAAAGATGAAACATATTAGCTGTGCTTTTTTTTGATTTGTCAGCGTAGCATGTTCTCTTCTGTCCATTTTTTTTCTGTTTCCGTATTTCTCGGGCCATCACACACACACAAGGCTCTTTTTCTTTCTTTTTATAATATCTGTGTCAGGTCTCTTGTGTTTTTGTTTTTGTTGATCGTTGGTATCTTTCAACCCAGTGTCTTTCTCTGCCTCTCCTCCTTTTCATCATCTCCAGCGAGTTTACTTTGTTTGAGTTTTCGCTCGTTCCGCTCCTGCGTGCCACCTTCATCGCTTCTTCCTTTCTTCCGTTTCCTTTGCTAGTACATATCGTAGTATGGGGTAAGGTGGTAGTACATGAAGAGGAATTAACCAAGTAAACCGGCTGGGATGTGATGTGTGAAGTGTGTGTGTGTGTGTTAGGGATCCCAAGAAGAGGAAACTAAGAATGTTTGTGATTTGCCTTAAATATCTTTCTCTATTTCGCCTCTCCATGCGAGGCATCAATAAGGAGAGAAGTCGTGCCAAAAAAATAAGAATATTGATAGTGGTGCACACACGGTTGCTCTTTTTTAGCAGGCCAACCACCGGGGGCGAGCAGTAGGTGTGTATTTTTCAGAGTCCTCTGTCAAAGGAAGCGTAGACCCTCCTTGCTGTTTGGCCGTGTTTCAAGATGCAATCGTTCAGGCTTCGCTCCCTATTTGTCTGGCTTAGAGCCTCACAAAAAAAAGCTGAACTACAGAAATTGTTTCTTTATTCCTTTTTTCCTTTGAGTACGAGCTCGTTGTTTTTCCCCCGTATGACAAATATTTAGGCCTCTTATATCTGTATCATCGTCGCAAATATGGGTTTTTTTTTTTCTCAGAGTGCTACGCACTAAGAACGCAATGCTTTGTTTCATTGCCACTCGTTTGCGTTACTCTGCCATGTGCTCCGTCTTTGGCATTACCTCATTATCACTCTATTGGACGGATTAGAGCAGAAGTAGCGCCAGCTGTTTCGTTGGATTCAACAACAGATTTCTCACTGTCAGTGAGGTGACCCTTCGCAACTGCCAATGGTTGAAACAGTAAGCTTTTTTTTCTTTCTCCTAAAAAAAAAGTATCTTTGACATGACAAAGAATAATCTGTAAGTGACGTTGCTGCGTTGTGCTATGTTGCGCTGTCGCTACGAAGACATGTGTTGGCGGTCTTTTTCTCTTTTCTTCCTTTTTTTTGCTTTGTGTTTGACCTTTTCTACGAAGCGTAGTGAGCTGCTGTTTTCTTTTGATGAACTCTTCTTTCTCTATCTATCTATACATATATATCTATGTCCTCCCTCCAACTGCGCGATGGCGCAAAAAAGAACGAAATAATGTCCACGGTCAGTCTTGGTGTACCGTATTCTTTTCCCCATTTGATATTTCTTCCTTTTTTGAAGAACGCGACTGGGTTTTTTTTCTCTGTCCTTTCTGGTCCCCCTCTTTCTTTGTTTCTGTTCATGGGGCGCCTGTTGTTGCCATTTCCGTGGAGCGCGTCTACGTTTGGGTCGTAGCCGATCAAGTTGAAAGTGAGTCGTGTCGGTGCGTTGGCGTGCCTCTTGTAACCCGGACCGCGTATGGTGCGCATCTATTTGCAATCATTTGTTACCCATGATATCACGCAAATACATCAGCGAAAACAGTTGCTACGCTTTGGTAGTGAAGCAGCCGACAGTGATTAAGGCCGTTTTTTTAATATATTTTTTGTTTAGGTCTGTTTACTTTAATTTATTTACGCGCTTTCAATTCTTCAATGGGCGTCCCAACACCGTTGTCATGGGAGACCAGCTACCCTAGTCTGATGAACAGAAGTGAAGCAATACTTTCGAAAAGAACTAGTCTTTTTTCTTTTCTCAAGCTGACTCCTTTGCGACGACTATGATAGGTAAGGAAAAGAGAAGGCTTCTTATCCACTGATGCACGTTCATGCAACGCATTGTACTTTTGCACAAGTGCCAGAAATTACAGACAAGTACAACGATAAGGTGCTGCTACCCTCCACTCTCTCAATCTTACTCCTCGTATCCCTGTCTCCCCCTCTCCCACACTTCTCGCGCTTCTCGTGATGTACGTCTAGGTGAACAAACGAGTCTCTCTCTCTTATATATATATATATATATATATATATATATATATATATATAT